ACTGTGAAGGGCTTGAGAGGTCGGGTCAACTGTGAGGGGCTTGAGAGGTCTGGTCAACTGTGAAGGGCTTGAGAGAGCGGGTCAACTGTGAGGGGCTTGAGGGGTCTGGTCAACTGTGAGGGGCTTGAGAGGTCGGGTCAACTGTGAAGGGCTTGAGAGGTCGGGTCAACTGTGAAGGGCTTGAGTGAGTGAGTTCAGTTTTACGCCGCTTTTAACAATATTCCAGCTATATCACGGCGGGGGACACAAGAAATGGGCTTCACACATTGTACCCATGTGGGGAATCGAACTCGGGTCTTCGGCGTGACGAGCGAACGCTTTAACCACTAGGCTACCCTACCGCCCGTGAAGGGCTTGAGAGATCGGGTCAACTGTGAAGGGTTTGAGAGGTCAGGTCAACTGCGAGGGGCTTGAGAGGTCGGGTCAACTGTGAAGGGCTTGAGAGGTCAGGTCAACTGTGAGGGGCTTGAGAGGTCGGGTCAACTGTGAAGGGCTTGAGAGGTCGGGTCAACTGTGAAGGGTTTGAGAGGTCGGGTCAACTGTGAGGGGCTTGAGAGGTCAAGTCAACTGTGAGGGGCTTGAGAGGTCAGGTCAACTGTGAAGGGCTTGAGAGGTCAGGGTCAACTGTGAGGGGCTTGAGAGGTCGGGTCAACTGTGAAGGGCTTGAGAGGTCGGGTCAACTGTGAAGGGTTTGAGAGGTCAGGTCAACTGTGAGGGGCTTGAGAGGTCGGGTCAACTGTGAAGGGCTTGAGAGGTCGGGTCAACTGTGAAGGGCTTGAGAGGTCAGGTCAACTATGAGGGGCTTGAGAGGTCGGGTCAACTGTGAAGGGTTTGAGACGTCGGGTCAACCGTGAGGGGCTTGAGAGGTCGGGTCAACTGTGAAGGGCTTGAGAGGTCAGGTCAACTGTGAAGGGCTTGAGAGGTCAGATCAACTGCGAGGGGCTTGAGAGGTCGGGTCAACTGTGAGGGGCTTGAGAGGTCGGGTCAACTGTGAAGGGCTTGAGAGGTCAGGTCAACTGTGAGGGGCTTGAGAGGTCAGGTCAACTGTGAAGGGCTTGAGAGGTCGGGTCAACTGTGAGGGGCTTGAGAGGTCAGGTCAACTATGAGGGGCTTGAGAGGTCGGGTCAACTGTGAGGGGCTTGAGAGGTCGGGTCAACTGTGAAGGGCTTGAGAGGTCGTGTCAACTGTGAAGGGCTTGAGAGGTCGTGTCAACCGTGAAGGGCTTGAGAGGTCGGGTCAACTGTGAGGGACATAAGGGTCGGATTATGAGCGAGTGACCTGTACTGAAACAATCAAATATAAAGAACAATTATCACAAACAGATGTTCTGTGGTTTGGAGGGAGACGTCTTTGAAGGGAAGGTGTTGGTCTCCTCCACGCTCTAACTGTTTATTGCCTTTACCAACCAGCGCCAGTTAACTACAGGCTTCCCTCGTTAAGTGTCCAGAATTGTCATCCTATCACTGTTGTTTTACATATACCTATTTAACTATCTGCATCCTAGTTTTCCATACATTAGATGGAGTAAGAATATACTCCAAGACGTTGACATTCATAACTAATAATGACGTTCAAGGACTGTTCACAACACAGCATGTATAATCCAATAATTAACTACCATGCAGTTTACTAGCAATCGAAAGTTCCAATTTAAATGCATCTATAGAACAACAACATAAACAAAACACCCAATATCTGCAGCAACCTTCGCTGCTCTTTTGGGGTGATCATGCCAAGTTTTGCTTTCTTCTGTTATTTCACATAAATATTCACACAGGCCCACATTCTTTGTGGTTTCTCCATGACTATATCATGTGTATTCACATTTAAACCACTCGTTACAACTCCATTTATCAGTTGTCCATTGCCTCTTGATGTGCCCAGAAGAGAAAACGGCAGGCATCACAATAGTGATCGGCCGAGTGTGGTGATACATATGTTGAATTAGTATCAGACATGGCGGACAAAGTGTAACAATCAGCGTAGTAGCAACAGTATCAATCGTTAGTTTAAATCAAATGGACGAAACAATAAATTATTCACGCTTGAGCGATGTAGCGAAATACACAGAATACTTCTGGATCCATATGTCAAACTGAATTAGAAGGATCGTTTGTCAGCTTCTCCCATGTATGCATTGTGGCGACAGATGGCTGGTGCCGCCTACACAACTGATAGCGCTGGGAACAGCTCGGACTGCAGGTTGCTATCCATGTCACTAATGTGTGGTCTTGTGTGCACCTTGGCACTTATCACTTGGACTCAAAGACGGCAGGCATCGTGCGCCGTTGAGCATATTGTACACGCGCTGTGCTGTGGAGACATACCCATGTGATGATACAACGAGGCCCGTGGCACAATACCCTAGAAAGCTTCATGTAATCTGCATTGAGAATCAACTAAAGCTCACATAATCGGAGACGACTTCATCTGCGCTTATAAGCATCCGCAGTGAGAGCCCAGTAAAGCTGTTCGTGGAGCCATACAAGGCAGAACGTTGCTAGAACGAACGTCTCAAGTACCCGTGCAGGGAAAGGCATGGAGTGCTTAAATTGTCAGACACGATTTGTTAGAAAGATAGGTAAAAGTGAAACGACAGCGAGAGAGACTGACTGACTGACTGAGTTTGGTTTTACGCCGCTTTTAGCAATATCCCAGCAACATCACGGCGGGGACACCAGAAATGGGCTTCACACATTGTGCCCATGTGGGGGTTCGAACCCGGGTCTTCGGCGTGACGAGCCAACGCTTTAACCATTAGGCTACCCCACCGCCCCACAGCGAGAGAGAGGCAACGCTTACTTACCAGACACAGTATGTTAGACAGAAAGGTTCATGTACAATGGGGGTCATGTAAAGCTCATACAGCAAGACATGTTGTTCAAGAAAGAAACAGTACACCGTCCGTGAGAGTCAAATAAACCAGGTCTAATCAGGTTTCATGGTCACCTGTAATGAGGGTCAAGCATAAAGCACACAAGATAAAGTAAATGGACGGGTCCGTGTACACACTCAGTCATACACGATTGGGTAGAAAGATGGGTCCGTGTACACACTCAGTCATACAAGATTGGGTAGAAAGATGGGTCCGTTTACACACTCAGTCATACATGATTGGGTAGAAAGACGGGTACTTGTACACACTCAGTCATACAAGATTGGGTAGAAAGACGGGTCCGAATACACATGCAGTCATACAAGATTGGATAGAAAGGCAGGCCTATGTACACATACAGTCATACAAGATTGGATAGAAAGGCGGGTACTTGTACACATACGGTCATACAAGATTGGGTAGAAAGACGGGTCCGAATACACACGCAGTCATACAAGACTGGGTAGAAAGCCAGGTACGTGTACACATACAGTCATACAAGATTGGGTAGGGAGTGAGTGAGTCTAGTTTTACGCCGCTTTTAGCAATATTCCAGACACATCATGGCGGGGGACACCAGAAATGGGCTTCACACAATGTAACCATGTGGGGAATCAAACCCGGGTCTTCAGCGTGACGAGTGAACGCTTTAACCACTAGGCTACCCCGCCGCCCCCAAGATTGGGTAGAAAGACGGGCCCATGTACACATGCAGTCATACCAGATTGGGTAGAAGGACGGGCCCATGTACACATGCAGTCATACAAGATTGGGTAGAAAGACGGGCCCATGTACACATGCAGTCATACAAGATTGCGTAGAAAGACGGGCCCATGTACACATGCAGTCATACAAGATTGGGTAGAAAGACGGGCCCATGGACACATGCAGTCATACAAGATTGGGTAGAAAGACGGGCCCATGTACACATGCAGTCATACAAGATTGCGTAGAAAGACGGGCCCATGTACACATGCAGTCATACAAGATTGTGTAGAAAGACGGGCCCATGGACACATGCAGTCATACAAGATTGGGTAGAAAGACGGGCCCATGTACACATGCAGTCATACAAGATTGCGTAGAAAGACGGGCCCATGTACACATGCAGTCATACAAGATTGGGTAGAAAGACGGGCCCATGTACACATGCAGTCATACAAGATTGGGTAGAAAGACGGGCCCATGGACATGCAGATTCATACAAGATTGGGTAGAAAGACGGGCCCATCTACACATGCAGTCATACAAGATTGGTAGAAAGACGGGCCCATCTACACATGCAGTCATACAAGATTGGGTAGAAAGACGGGCCCATACACATGCAGTCATACAAGACACGGGCCCAGTACACATGCAGTCATACAAGATTGGGTAGAAAGACGGGCCCATGTACACATGCAGTCATACAAGATTGTGTAGAAAGACGGGCCCATGTACACATGCAGTCATACAAGATTGGGTAGAAAGACGGGCCCATGTACACATGCAGTCATACAAGATTGGGTAGAAAGACGGGCCCATGTACACATGCAACGAGAGTGAAGCAAATCTTTAATCAGACACGTTGTACCAGATAGAATGGCACCTGCAATGAAGGTCAAGTAAAGCTGAGATTGTCATACATAACATAATATTAGGTTGTAGTTTGCACATAGCATAACATTTCTCCTTTGGAGAATGATACAGTATAATCAGAAATCTTAAGGACCCTGGTATAAATTTGTGTTAATCAAGAAGATTTGGGTACGTAACGATAAACGGGATGCGAGGACAAAATTAGATTTACGACTATGTACATGCAACTCGTTGTCGTGACATAAGATGACATAAGAAAACATCAACAGTGTGTGTGTGTGTGTGTGTCTGTGTCTGTGTCTGTACACACACATAACATAATATTAGGTTGTACATATACACACATACATATACATTTGCGTATATGAACATTTACAGATATCTTATCATCGTAGATAATGAAGTCGGCTAAAACAAAAGTTTTAGACATATTAGTAGGTTGTGGGCGTGGAATACGACAGGTTTCCGCAGTTTGGGTCAGGTTATGTCACATTTCATGATATAAACTTACCTAAGGATTGGACAGACATATCACATGACTTTGTGTATATAAGCCTGTGTCCACCGTTCCTCTATGATGTAGCTAGCGTTATACAGCCATGTGGAACCGCCTGTGCTTCATCCTGGCGGTCCTTGCCGCCATACAAGCTACAGCAGTCAGAAAGAAGAACTTCAGAGGTAAGACATGTTTGTTTATGAAATTGTTTTCAGCAACTGTTCACGCCGTTTGTGTTTTTCAAGACCCCAGATCCGAGTGAACGTTTGGCCTCACCCCAGTTCAAGTTTACCTTTAACGCCTGCATCCACTTTTTCAGAAACATGAGGTAGTTAGTGTCTTACCTTCTATCACTGCCCACCTACTAATATAAACTGCTCATTTGACAGTGACAGATGTAAACAGTCACTTTGACCTTATTGAAGGATGGAAGCACCTTGACCACCTGCCCCAAACAGACCGTTTAAACCAAAAATACAACATACGTTGATGTCAGACACATTTTACTGTGATGAGTCTTGCTCACATAATATCGGAACATTAGTGTATAAAGCAATAGCAATTGTTGTGTGAACATCATAGCTTGGAACTCCTAGGTTGTATATCTGCATTTAGTGACAGCCTCACCTGCATGTTTCAGCCAAACGACAGGCGTACTACAACAGCGGCATTAGCGGGAACTATGGTAAGTACTTGTGTATCTATACATGTAAGGAGACAGCAGTGTATACACGTATGTAACATTGTCGTGAGGTTTGTAGTATCCCCTACATGATGTCGGTATATATGCTGGTACACGGGTCCCTATGGTGGCTCAAATCGCTACATTCAGCTGAACAGATAGTAGAAGCTGCATGACCGATACCGATTGTATACCCCGTGTATAACGCCACTCGCTGGTATGACGTAGCCAGGGTGGACGGGGAATTATCACTACATAATGAATTAATGCGGTACATGTTTAAACTCTGAGACAACGATTTCTCCAAGGCATCGTGCACCTTTCAAATCATCCATTACCCACATCTCAAATAGTATCTGTAAAGTGTTTCTTTTCCCACGAAATATTGAATAACTTTTTGACTGCTGTGTAAATCCTGTTTCCCATAGAATCTGTAATCAGATAATCAACTGTGTATAGTATGGGTCTCCAACAAAGTCTTTTATTACATTTATTGCTACTGTGTTCCCCCAGTGTGGAAAACTCCTGTGGATGTGGAATTTGTCCTCGATTCTTCGGACAGTGTGGGGGCAGACAACTTCCGGTATATGATCCAATACGTGCAGAACCTCGTCCGTCACTGGGACATAGGCCCGCAACGCGTACAGGTGGGCGTGGTTACCTATGGTAATGGCGCCAGAAACCAGTTCTACCTCAACAACTACCAGACAGGGGCGCAGCTAGTCAACGCCATTGGAAACATCCAGTATCAGAGTGGAGCTGCAGATCTGGGGAATGCTTTCAGATTCGCCTATGGAGATGCCTTCACCAGCCAACATGGATCACGTGATCATGTGCCACATGTCATAGTACACATTGGCAATGGTGTGTCCAGTAACAAAGCCTTCACCCTGCAGGTACAGTCATTCTTTGTAACAGATGGAACATGTCAGTATTATTACTAATCTGATCAAGACAAATGTTCACAGACAGAATTCTGAACGAGGTATGTCTGGTTAGCTGTGTTCAAGTTGACTTTAATCATAACATGACTGGCATTGCAGGAGGCCCAGGCGGCCCGGGATCATGGTATAACCATCTACAACGTTGCTGTTGGAAGTGGTGTAGATAACAACGAGGTTCAAAATATCGCCACAAACCCAGCCTCGAGATATCTGCTACACGCTGACACCTACCAGTCACTAGACACGCTCGTCAACCCACTGGCAACAAAGATCGAGAACGGTAGAGGCTGAAAATGTTGCTAATTCGTTTCTCGCTTGGCTTCCTTGAATTTCTTAAAACAAATCCTGCATTCAAAAAAATAAGTTCATCGAAACATAAATATACAGAACGTCTGTTGTGTTAATGTTCGTCTGTATGGCTTTGTTTCAGAGGTTCCTGGGTCCAACACAATGCTACCTCAAGCTAACGGTGTGTATGGCGAAGTACTTTCAAATATTGTTAAACAAATTAGACAAATATAATGAAAAGTAAAAAGAGTTTTAAGTTAAAGATACTTAGCAACAACCCTAACTGAAACAACTTGTAACTACTTCCAAACTAACAGGCTGTCTGCAGAAGGCGGATCTGGTTTTCATGATCGATTCCTCCTCCAACGTTGGCGATGCTCAACATCAGCAGCTGGAACAGTTCCTGAAGGACTTCATAATAAGACTACCAATCGGCAAGGACAAAGTGCAGGTTGGTCTGGTTCAGTACAGCAGTCACCCAGCAGATGGCTTCCCTCTCAACATGTACACCGACAGGATGGACCTCTTGAAGGCCGTGGACACACTACGCTATATGGGTGGTGGAACAAACACTGCTGACGCCCTCAAGTACATGAGGGAACAAGCCTTCTCGTCAGTATCTGGGGCAAGGACTGATGTTCCTAGAATCGGCATAATTATAACCAACGGACATTCTTCTAACCCAACGGCAACCACCACTGAAGCTGACAAAGCTCGATCTAGCGATATAGGACTAATTGGGGTCGGAGTGGGCTCTGGCGTCGATCTGAATGAGTTGTACAACATTGCTGACAACCCTCATACAACTAACACCTTCACCATCAGTGACAACGACCAGATGCAAAATTCCATACCACAGATTCTAAATGCAGCATGTAACAGTAAGTTTGTATATTTACGTTGTGGTACATCATGTCATGACGCGTCAAGAAGAATCATGAACACATTATTACCGTTCAGGAAAATGAAACATATGCTATCAAGATGCAGGCAATGGTGTTCCGTGCGCATCAGTTGCTAACCAACTTACGGTTTGTTCTTTTGTAATAGCACGACATCTTACAGACGCATAAACTTTACAATATGTTAGCACACATTCATAGAGTAGCTGCGTGATTCACAGTGCATGTTTGTTTCAGTGAATCGGATGCTTCCCGGCCACACAGGACAGGGTAGGTATCTTTTCCGTCAGAATCTAAAGCTCAGCTTCCTCTTCCTTAAGGACTATAGAAAGAAAGAAAAAGGAAAACATGAGATTTATGTGTTTAGTGATGTCTGTCACAATTTAAAGGCTATGGAATACAAAGTATATCTAAATGTAGTCTACTTGAATACTTGCTTAGATTTATTATATATTAGCAAGGATTGGGGTAATCTGACAGATTCTATCGCTTTGCCAACACAATATGCGAATGATAAATTATTCATGGAAACAACTTATATATTTTCATAATGCGTGTCGCGTTTAGTTAATTTAAACAGAAATAAAGATTAAAAAGCGAAGTTCTGTTTAGGCACTGTTTAAGTGGTGTGAATGTAACTTGTAGGGGGCGCTCCAACAGGTAATATCTATGTTGACAGGGGTTACACATCTCCCAGACACATGTCAGGACAAGCTAACCAACTGCGACGAGTATGAAGAGAGTGCGTGTGTTGATTATAAGCCTTGGGCCACAGAGAACTGCGCTAGATTCTGCAAGATCTGTACACGTAAGTCATGTGAATAATTCATAACCTAAAATATATATCCTCATTTTTACTTTATCTGATAATAACGCCTAACTTTATACACAGTCATCGGATAGTGCAATAAGAAATTGTGTTGCCAACGGAGAGAGTTACTAAAAGCAGGTGTTGCATATTAATGCTCGTCAATGTATGCCAACAGCCCTGTACACCGTCACTGAGGAGTGCAAAGACTCGTTGGACAACTGCAAGATGTACGGAGCCGACGTGTGTCAGAAATTCGCCCCCTGGGCACACACCAACTGTCGTCAGTACTGCGGATTCTGTGGTTAGTTGTTCATCCTAACCAGTATCAGGCAGTGAGAGTATGAATAGCGAACTCACCACATTTCAGCAGGAACCCATCTATCAACATACACACACATATTAAATACATGGCAGTATCTACATACACATATAACGGGTATGACACTATCTACATACATATATAACGGGTATGACACTATCTACATACATATATAACGGGTATGACACTATCTACATACATATATAACGGGTATGACACTATCTACATACATATATAACGGGTATGATACTATCTATATATATATATATATATAACGGGCATGACACTATCTACATACATATAGAACAGGTATGACACTATCTACATACATATATAACGGGTATGACACTATCTACATACATATATAACGGGTATGATACTATCTATATATATATATATATAACGGGCATGACACTATCTACATACATATATAACGGGTATGACACTATCTATATACATATATAACGGGTATGACACTATCTATATATATATATATATAACGGGTATGACACTATCTACATACATATATAACGGGTATGACACTATCTACATACATATATAACGGGTATGACACTATCTACATACATATATAACGGGTATGACACTATCTATCTATATATATATATATATATATAACGGGTATGACACTATCTACATACATATATATAACGGGTATGACACTATCTACATACATATATAACGGGTATGACACTATCTACATACATATATAACGGGTATGACACTATCTATATATATAACGGGTATGACACTATCTACATACATATATAACGGGTATGACACTATCTACATACATATATAACGGGTATGACACTATCTATATACATATATAACGGGTATGACACTATATATATATATATAACGGGTATGACACTATCTACATACATATATAACGGGTATGACACTATCTTCATACATATATAATGGGTATGACACTATCTTCATACACATATAAACTGTATATATAGCGGACCTGTACATAGAAACATATACTTTGTGCGGTTTTCCGTGATTTGGAGTGACAACAGTGACGACAGTGACTGAACAAAGTCTGTTTGTGTTGCAGCTGACGCATCATCAGGATTCTGTGAGTAGCTGCATGTATTTTTTCTTTTCCAGTAAACATAATTGAATATACGTTTACGTACTGTGTTTAGAAACGTTTGTGTAACGTTCTACCGCTTGTTGTGTTTCATTAGTTTCCCCGTCAAGCGATCCTTTATATTCATTCACAATGACTAAGTTACCGTTGGGTACCCGTTTTCAATCTCACTATTGATATAGATCAACGTACGTCGAGTAAGGTATACAAAACATTCCCGATTACATTACCTATCTTTTTCAAATGTGTGATATATAATGCCGAGGGCGACGTGTATTATCCGTTAAAATGATATTCAGTGTTGTGTTCACGTTGATGTTAGAGACCATTTCGGAAAATAGTAAGAGCGCGGCGGGAGAAAACATCTTGTGATATTGATTGTTGTGACGAGCCAGGACATGAACTAACACTGTTGTATTTTGTCAGATGGTCAATGTTTCTACAAGGGCAAAGTGTACAAGCAGGGCGATAGATGGGACGATGGTTGCGACTATGAATGTGTGTGTGAGAGCGGCAACACTGGGAAATACCGCTGCTATAACAAGTATGTATAAGACGAAGACATAAGCTGGGTAAAAGGTCAATAAGCACATCTCTTTTGCAGTGGACCTCTCACTGTGTGTCAGAGAAGCGGCTCACAATCTCTAGTGGATGGTCCATCGCAACATCACGTTATCACATTACTGACTCATTGTTGCATTTTGAAGTAAACCTATGGATTCATGAGAGTAGAATGATCTGCATATAAGCTCCTTTGTCCAGTCCTGGAGGAATTAAACACGTGTACACTACCTTCGTGCAGGTGCCCTATATATAACGATTTGCCGAGCCAGTGCACGCTCGTGGTCACCCCGGGTCAATGCTGCCTCAAGCCCGTGTGCAACTTTCAGCAGAAGGTCACGACCAACACTGGATCAGGGATTGGCAAAACACCAACTGGAATCAGTGAGTGTGACCATACAATTTTCTTATCATCATCAGACATTAAGCTGGAACCACCATTTCCAGAAAGACATCACAGAGAGAATTTACACAGGTTGCAAAACCTTTACTCTATACGTAAACATTGCAAAGTTTTGAACAGTGAATAGATCAGTTGAAGCCATCAACATTTTGGATCGAATCGACGCCCTATTTACTTGGCAATGGAGGTAGTGTCAGTTTGAAACTGGTTACAACAATATCTTAACTGGCGAATTTCAGACCTATCTATTATTGATATATGAGTATGTTTCACAGGGTTGACTTTCTACGTGATGATAGTAGAGAGAGATCTTCAGTTGGTCTCCCCATTACCACAGTCAAACAATAATGAACTATCACAGCTTTTAACAAAACGTGCTCTTTCCATAAACAGCACGTAAACTGTACATATACTTGATGGCATTCTCTTAAAACACTATAATTTCATTTCTATGACTGCTTCTTGCATATATACCCCTTAGATTTAGATTTCTCGATGGCAAACATGTATGTAAATTCCAAATGATAAATTTGTTGAATTCACAAAATAGATGTACCGCTTAAGCAATAGCTAAATTTCTGAAATGTGTATTCTCCAAGAATGTTTGAGACAGTATTTAGATATAGGTTTTCTATTTTCTTACCACGTGACAACAAAAGTGTTGTAACAACAATTGTAACATGGGCCAGTTGGCCAATATTACTGAATAAAATCTGTCTATCTGTCTGTCCTTACATGCAAACATTTGGGGAATGCAAGTTATCTCAAGACGCTTTTGAAACATCAGTACGTGTCAGCATCCCATTCATAGGCAAAAACATCTCACCTCAATACCATGCCAATAAGAACAACGAGACCTGTAAAAAAAAATGGTGCAGCTTTGTACCCTGAACACAATATTATTTTGTTTGTAATGCAATATTTGAGAACAGAAAGGGATTCATCACACAACCGTGTCTAAGATCTACTTATAACATTTAGAAAATTGCTGTTAGCCTTGACGTATCCCTTTACACAAATCTAAATGAACTGATACTTTAGAAAAAACCAAATTTAGATCTGTCTCCCACATATACCAAACCTCTAAACAAATGCATCATAAAACCATGTGATTTTAGACATCAGTTGACCAATGTAGAGTATCAGCTATTGTGCTATAACCTGTTTGGAATTCAGTTTGTGATCTGCTAATTTTATCATAAAACGTTGCATAAGAGAATATAAAATGACGTTTGAGCACTAATAGATGGCTTTGTTTGAATCCCATGTCTTTCTCCTGCCTGACTTCATATGTCAAACGTGTGACAATGTATGACCAATTCACAGGTGTGTGCGTGTACGATGGTAAACAGTATTATCAAGACGAAAGTTGGGAGGTTGGCTGTGACTTCAAATGTAGCTGCATCAACGCTCAACAAGGGGTTTACAGCTGCCAGTCTTAGTAAGTATTACTAAACCACACCCAACAAGGGGTTTACAGCTGCCAGTCTTAGTAAATATTACTATACCACGCTCAACAAGGGGTTTACAGCTACCAGTCTTAGTATTACTATACCACGCTCAACAAGGGGTTTACAGCTGCCAGTCTTAGTAAGTGTTACTAAACCACGCTCAACAAGGGGTTTACAGCTACCAGTCTTAGTATTACTAAACCACGCCCAACAAGGAGTTTACAGCTGCCATTCTTAGTAAGTATTACTAAACCACGCTCAACAAGGGGATTACAGCTGCCAGTCTTAGTATTACTAAACCACGCTCAACAAGGGGTTTACAGCTGCCAGTCTTAGTACGTATTACTAAACCACGCTCAACAAGGGGTTTACAGCTGCCATTCTTAGTAAGTGTTACTAAACCACGCTCAACAAGGGGTTTACAGCTGCCAGTCTTAGTATTACTAAACCACGCTCAACAAGGGGTTTACAGCTACCAGTCTTAGTATTACTATACCACGCTCAACGAGGGGTTTACAGCTACCAGTCTTAGTATTACTATACCACGCTCAACAAGGAGTTTACAGCTGCCATTCTTAGTAAGTATTACTAAACCACGCTCAACAAGGGGATTACAGCTGCCAGTCTTAGTATTACTAAACCACGCTCAACAAGGGGTTTACAGCTGCCATTCTTAGTAAGTATTACTAAACCACGCTCAACAAGGGGTTTACAGCTACCAGTCTTAGTATTACTAAACCACGCCCAACAAGGAGTTTACAGCTGCCATTCTTAGTAAGTATTACTAAACCACGCTCAACAAGGGGATTACAGCTGCCAGTCTTAGTATTACTAAACCACGCTCAACAAGGGGTTTACAGCTGCCAGTCTTAGTAAGTATTACTAAACCACGCTCAACAAGGGGTTTACAGCTGCCATTCTTAGTAAGTGTTACTAAACCACGCTCAACAAGGGGTTTACAGCTGCCAGTCTTAGTATTACTAAACCACGCTCAACAAGGGGTTTACAGCTACCAGTCTTAGTATTACTAAACCACGCTCAACAAGGGGTTTACAGCTACCAGTCTTAGTATTACTAAACCACGCTCAACAAGGGGTTTACAGCTGCCAGTCTTAGTAAGTATTACTAAACCATTCTCAACAAGGGGTTTACAGCTGCCAGTCTTAGTATTACTATACCACGCTCAACAAGGGGTTTACAGCTGCCAGTCTTAGTATTGCTACACCACGCCCAACAAGAGGTTTACAGCTTCCAGTCTTAGTATTACTATACCACGCTCAACAAGGGGTTTACAGCTGCCAGTCTTAGTATTGCTACACCACGCCCAACAAGGGGTTTACAGCTTCCAGTCTTAGTATTACTATACCACGCTCAACAAGGGGTTTACAGCTGCCAGTCTTAGTAAGTATTACTAAACCACGCTCAACAAGGGGTGTACAGCTGCCATTCTTAGTATGAAGACAAGGGGTTTACAGCTATCAGTCTTAGTATTACTATACCACGCCCAACAAGGGGTTTACAGCTACCAGTCTTAGGATAACTATACCACGCTCAACAAGGGGTTTACAGCTGCCAGTCTTAGTATTACTACACCACGCCCAACAAGGGGTTTACAGCTGCCAGTCTTAGTAAGTATTACTAAACCCCGTTCAACAAGGGGTTTACAGCTGCCAGTCTTAGTAAGTATTACTAAACCACGCTCAACAAGGGGTTTACAGCTACCAGTCTTAGTATTACTATACCACGCTCAACAAGGGGTTTACAGCTGCCAGTCTTAGTATTACTACACCACGCCCAACAAGGGGTTTACACCTACCAGTCTTAGTATTACTATACCACGCTCAACAAGGGGTTTACAGCTACCAGTCTTAGTAAGTATTACTAAACCACGCTCAACAATCACTCGTGCTCTTTGTGAAGTGTGTCAGGGGTTGAAATAACCCATTGCCCGACCCCCGAGTCCAGTGTTTTTTTCTGTCGGGCAAGCAAATTTGTAGATCACACTGTACTGGTGTCCAGTTGACTTTCCAATATTAATTATGTTGTTTATTTAAAAAATCAACAAGAAAACGGCCGGTATAGTGGAAAAATTATCAGGGCAAGTGATTTTACATGTGCCACTGTACCGGAATACACTAGCAATTTTAAAGTTATTTCCACTGAGACAAAACAGCAAGGTATGAAACTCACAAAAATTTCAGCCAGACCACAGGGCTGGTTAGATGTTAAACTTGCCAGCCCTGACCAAAAATTACCTGCAAACACAAAATACTAATTTACTTAGTATAATTAAATTAAAACTAGTAAAATATTGTAAAAACTAATACTGACTTCATATACATGTCTAAATTTTAACCCGACGGTCGGGCACGTCATTTTGAGAATCTGGCAGTCCGTGTTGAAAATAACTCAACCTGGACGGTGGGGCAGGCAGTTATTTCGAACGCTGCAAACAGACACTAACAGATGCCTTAACAGCTGAACACAAACTTGTATATGGCAGAATATAATCAGTAGTCAACAGTCAATTATGTAACTCGAAATAATGCCCAATTCCAGTACCTAACCTGACATTGCAGCTGCCCAACATACAGGAATCTTCCTTCTTCCTGCCATCTGACCAAGGCTCCAGGCATGTGCTGTGAAACACCATCTTGTGACTTCAACCAGCAGGTCGGCAGTTTTTCTGGAAGCGGGGCCACTTCTGGTATCGGCAGTTGTAAGTTACACTTTCATAATCTTCACAGCACATTAATCTAAAACCGCATTTGGACAGATAGTGATAGTGGATAAGGGTTTACTACTACTACTAATAATAATAATTTGGAATGCAAGCTCGATCCAACCTCCAGAAAGAGCAGCTTCAAGACAAACACCGGACTGAGTATAGGTCTCGCTTAAAGAAAATCTGGAGCTCAGAGCTAAATTGTCGAGACAAGGTCAGAGCCATAAAGTGTCTTTGCAAGAGATCCAAATTCTTGACAGCCTGACCGGGAAACGTATGTCTGGCCACAGACCCCACCATCTTTTTCAATAGTGGAGTCTCCATATACTCGGAAGGTTCTTGGTGGTTTCGACTAGGCAGCGCTGTCTATGCTGCATGTAGAGGGGAATGAATGAGTGATGACTTAAATTGTAACAGTGCAGTTTTATCACAAGAGGCAGTTTTACTGAATGAGGAGTAACAGAAGGTCGGTTGGTGTTTGTTGTTTGTTTTTTAACTTATCTTGATAAATGATCATCAAATACTTGCAGTATCCCATTGCCGATCGCCATGCTCAATTATTTTTACAAGATCATATATTTGCTGTATGATTAAAGGTAGTGTTAACACTTACAATATAATGATACTTTATTGAATTAATGCGACATACCCATTGGCGTGACTAAATCATAGGATTCGATCCCCGTGAGTCCAGTGAAACTGGGACAATCTTTATAAATATCCACTATCTTCTCACTTGTCGTTGATAATGGGGCAATACAGGGTCCTACCCCGGTCTTCCTCATGTCCAGCTGTCTTGAACTGTATTCTTTTTTGGCCATCTGGTGCATATTTGTCCATTTTTTTTATATTTCCTTTGTTGTTCTCTGGCAGACTCCGAGGGCGTTAATTTTTGCTGTGATGTCTGCCCAGATTGCTTTTTTCCTTTCGTGGGTAACTGTGCTGCATAGCTTGCTGTTTAATATTGAGATATGTTTCTCAACAAGCTCCGCCAGCAACTGAACTTCAGAGCTGTCGAAAGTTTTGTTTCTGTTACGAAATTTAGTCGGTAACGATGCCATTTTGACAGACGACAGGAAGCAACGCGTACTTGTTTACGTTAGGGAATTGTGGGAAATATTTAGGGGAATCCCCGAAAGTAATGACAACATTAACATTAGGACGTCATTAGTTAATGATACACTAATAAGTGTTTGATACAACCGTTTTTAATGTTGCCATTAACTAATGATACATTAGGATATAATGTATCATTAGGGTTTAATGTTGACATTAGTTAATGAAGCAATGATACAACCGGATCCTGATCATCAGCCTTACCAGGATGACTGAGTCAGGAACAGCCCACCCATCTTTGCTGACATTTTCTAATTATTATCTGTAAAATACAAAGACGGAAACAAGAGCTATGTTGTTTTATTTAGCAACCACGCCCAAAAAAACATCGCCGTGTGAGGATGTCCTACCAAACTGCAACATGTACGACGCGACATCATGCAAGGCACCCTACAGACAGTGGGCTGTTGACAACTGCAAGAAAACATGCAATCTGTGCGGTCAGTTTTACAATGATTTATGGCAGGTGCTGTCTCCCGCTGTCATAGACCAAGCCGCGTAAAACCAGTTTCATTCACTCACTCTTGAAATATAAATCTCTAGAGATTTAATCATAATTTATACTGTGTGTGTATATTTTCAAACAATGACAGGACGTTCACTGTTTATTTCAGAAAACGGACTCACTAAGCCGGGACCAAATGGTAGGTAACAGTTTTCACAATCACGATTCAAAGTAATAATTAGTGTGATCCAAGTACACTCGATCGGATTCACCCCGAATACTCTCAATTTCAGATGTGTGTATCTACGACGGGAACACCTACCACCAGGGGGAAGCCTGGCGAGTCTCCTGTGATCTGGAGTGTGTGTGTGAACAAGCAACATTTGGATACTACAGATGTAGTAATAAGTACGTAAATGTTACATGAAGGTTGTTCTGTGGTGATGTGTAGTGGCACATCAGCAGGAGCGAAACATTCTACTACCAGTTATTATACCAGTACCATTCTACTTCACTGTACTACTAAATTGGTTTGAGAGAACTGATCTGAATGCCATGGTGCATCTACCTGCAGGTGCCCGACCTACAACAACATTCCCAATGGTTGTTACACCAAGAAGAAGGCCGGGGATTGCTGCGAGACTGTTGTGTGTGACAGAGGCACTTTTGTTCCCTCCACTACTAACCTCAAATCCATCGGAAACGGAGGGGGAATTATAGTGACTGGTTTAGGTGGATCCCAGATTAACGTCCCCCCTACCTTCCCCAGTGGTGCCACACCTGGCCCGGGAACGGGCGGGACCGGCATGCAGGCTCCTACACTCAGTAAGTGAGGGGATGTAGTTTGTTTGTTGTCTATCTCAGCACTATTGCAGCCATATGACAGCGGTCTGTTATTAATTAACCAATGGACCAATTAAGCCAGTGATTGACATTATGAACATCTGTAGCGTAGCAATTTAGATACGACGACATGTGTGAACCAAGTCAGCGAACCTTACCACCCGATTCCGTTAGTCAAGCATGGGTTGCTCGATTCTAACTTGGATCTTTATGGATGACTGGATACAACAAATTGTTGCTAAATGTTACACGGTAGTCAAATAAACCATCACTACTTAGGGACAACTTTAACACTAAACTTACAAGTATTCATAAAACCAAGTCGGTTGCAACATTTGACTTTCCTGACGCATCTTATAAATGTGCTCCCTGGCATATACCTCTATCATCAGCAAGTATCATTGGACTGATTTTACTTCAGATGGTTGTCTGTACAGCGGCAATCTGTACGTGCAGGGACAACAGTGGACGGATGGCTGCCAGCAGACTTGTGTCTGTACTGACGCCACAAAGGGGCTTTATAGCTGTAGAGCCAGGTAAGTGTGGTAGGGTAGCTTCAAGTAAACTACTACATCGAGACCTCCAATTGTTGGAATAGTACCTATTATTCTCACGTCATATAATGCATAGCCGCCTCTACAAAATCACTGTTTTTTGCAGATGTCCTACATATCAAGGCATACCTCAAAACTGCATTATGAAAGCTGACCCGAATGACCCATGTTGTAAGATTCCAAACTGTAACCCTCTGGCCGGCCAACTGCCAATCCCAGTGTACGGACCAAACGTTCAGAACATAGGAGCCGTGCAGCCTCCAAGTATTGGCGACCTTATCACCGGCACCTTCACTGTGAAGCACACTATCAACTTCAATGGTGGCACAGTAGCGCCACCCACAGCGCCGTCAGTGTTACCCTCTGGAACTGGAATAGGTACATTGACCGTCCTACTGACCTCAAACAAGGTCTCTTTTTGAAGTATATAGTCTTTATAGTTTACATCATTCCATGTGTATCTAACTGTAAGGCATCACACGGGTATACATGTGTCTGCAGTGTACAGCTTCACACGGGTATACATGTGTCTGCAGTGTACAGCTTCACACGAGTATACATGTGTCTGCGGTGTACAGCTTCACACGGGTATATATCTGTATCGCATGTGTGTATTTGCAGGGTACTGTGAGTACAAAGGACAGCGGTACACCCAGGGTCAGGCATGGCAGGACGGATGTAATTACAACTGTGTCTGCCAGGACGCCTCTATCGGGAAATGGAAGTGTAACGACAGGTAAGATACAAACACAAACTGTGACTGAAACGTTACGTGGTAGATACTGCATGTCAACTGGAAGGATGTGCTTGTTATGTAAGGCTCAATATGTCCCTTTCTAGTGGTGATGGTGTTAGGTCCTTTTGGCTAGGAAACAAATATATTTGAAGAAAAAGAGTAAGTTTATATTTTAAATGTTTGAGAGCTATGTATCCCTGTATTGAAGGAACATATCTTTATTTCCACAACTGGCTTTGTATAAAGCGACATGTCATAGTTTATGTAAAACGAGTGACCTTTACGCTTTCTGCAGGTGTCTGAAGTATGAGAATCTGCCAAAACCTTACTGCATTCTGATCCAAGACAAGGATAACCCCTGCTGTAAGGTACCTCACTGTGATTTCACCGGCAAATACGGGGATTTCTTTGGTTCACTGACTCCTCCTCCAGTCACCCAGCCGAGGACGCAATACCCACCGACATTCCCAGTGATCACCACGCCTGCCCCAGGTCTGCACCACCCAAACAACCCTGTAACTCCAGCTACCTAGCATGGCACGCTGCTGCCTGTATTTCTTCAAATCAATTTTCAAATGGCCTTTGTGTCCTCAAAATATGTGTGTGTCGTTGTTTCGTATGACAAGCTCTATAAACACAAGATGTTCAGTAGAATGGAGTCCAATATCATTCTTTTTCTCACGCTGTCGTATTCATTTTTGTAGCGTTTTGTGACTACAAAGGCCAAAAGTACAACCAAGGACAGATGTGGTATGATGCTTGCAGCTTTAAATGTACTTGTGACAACGCCCGAGCTGGTTACTACAGATGTGTCAACAGGTGAGCTTGTGACGATAGTTATTTTCATCGGTAATGAAGTGTGGTGCCATACCATCTCCTGACACTGATCATGACCCCGATGTACTGCAGATGCCCGCAGTATGACAACGTACCCGCAGATTGCACTATGATGTCCGACCCACAGGATCCCATGTGCTGCAAGGTCCCTAAATGTATCTTCACCCCAACCTCCGGTGGGACGTCTGGCCAAGGCAACATACCTACACTCAGCCCGGGTCATTTCATCAACCAGAAGCCTGGCGGCAACCCATCGGGCGTCGGTCAGTGTACAATTTAACAAAGACACCTTTCCAATATTCTGCCTGTTTTTCCAATCATAATTTTCCAAATGTTTCAGTAAGTCACCGTTGAACTGTATAAGGCGAAAATAAGGTGCTTTCGGTATTACATGTGTAATTGTGTTTCACGTCAGGCTACTGTGAATACCAGGGCAAACGGTATCAACAAGGTGACAAATGGCTAGATGGCTGCCAGCTCAAGTGCGAGTGCCAAGACGAAGACAGTGGTCTGTACAAGTGCACTGAGAGGTAAAGAACTTTTGGGAATTAGATTGAAATTCCAACCCTTAAAATCCATATTGAAACATTGGCCAAAGACAGAGGTACACATTTATGATACACATTGTTAGTGGCGGGATTTGTTTTTCACCAACAAATTAAATTTGTGGAGATGCATGAGTTTAACTTGTGCACGCATTGTGACGGATTAACATTTAACGTCGTGATGCTAAGCAAACATCCAGCATACGTATTTTGAAGCAATAGCCAGCATCATTCCTGCCGACAAGGAATAGGCAACACACACGCAATCTTTCATGGAAGCATCATGTTTATAGGGTTCTTAAGGTCATGAGGCTCTCTTTGATGTTATGACTGTGACACAATTCAACGAAAGCGTCTTGTACACAGTGCCCTCATTAAGTGTTTCCATTCAAATAACATAGATATTCAGTTGCAGTGACAGTTGCCTATATATTCCAGATGTCCTCGCTATGCTGATATGCCGCCACAGTGCAAGCTTATCCCAGATTTTACCGACCCATGCTGCCAGAAGCCTTCTTGTGACTTTTCGGGTACTTCTGGGTCTCTGTCAGGCCATGGTGACCTCAAGACCCCAGCCCCAGGGTACTTCACCCCTTCCCCCGGCTACACAGGAACCCCTATACCAGGTACTCACACATGGTACAATATCTCAACCCCCAATTACACAGGTACACCTATACCAGGTACTCAAACATGGTACAATATCTCAACCCCCAATTACACAGGTACACCCATACCAGGTACTCACACATGGTACAATTTCTCAACCCCCAATTACACAGGTACACCCATACCAGGTACTCACACATGGTACAATTTCTCAATCCCCAATTACACAGGAACCCCCATACCAGGTACTCACACATGGTACAATTTCTCAATCCCCAATTACACAGGAACCCTATACCAGGTACTCACACATGGTACAATTTCTCAATCCCCAATTACACAGGTACACCTATACCAGGTACTCACACATGGTACAATTTCTCAATCCCCAATTACACAGGAACCCCTATACCAGGTACTCACACATGGTACAATTTCTCAATCCCCAATTACACAGGTACACCTATACCAGGTACTCACACATGGTACAATTTCTCAATCCCCAATTACACAGGAACCCCCATACCAGGTACTCACACATGGTACAATTTCTCAACCCCAATTACACAGGTACACCCATACCAGGTACTCACACATGGTACAATTTCTCAATCCCCAATTACACAGGAACCCCTATACCAGGTACTCACACATGGTACAATTTCTCAATCCCCAATTACACAGGAACCCCTATACCAGGTACTCACACATGGTACAATTTCTCAATCCCCAATTACACAGGAACCCCTATACCAGGTACTCACACATGGTACAATTTCTCAATCCCCAATTACACAGGAACCCCTATACCAGGTACTCACACATGGTACAATTTCTCAACCCCCAATTACACAGGTACACCCATACCAGGTACTCACACATGGTACAATTTCTCAACCCCAATTACACAGGTACACCCATACCAGGTACTCACACATGGTACAATTTCTCAATCCCCAATTACAGGAACCCCACCAGGAACCCCTATACCAGGTACTCACACATGGTACAATTTCTCAATCCCCAATTACACAGGAACCCCTATACCAGGTACTCACACATGGTACAATTTCTCAATCCCCAATTACACAGGAACCCCTATACCAGGTACTCACACATGGTACAATTTCTCAATCCCAATTACACAGGAACCCCATACCAGGTACTCACACATGGTACAATTTCTCAATCCCCAATTACACAGGAACCCCTATACCAGGTACTCACACATGGTACAATTTCTCAACCCCCAATTACACAGGTACACCCATACCAGGTACTCACACATGGTACAATTTCTCAATCCCCAATTACACAGGTACACCCATACCAGGTACTCACACATGGTACAATTTCTCAATCCCCAATTACACAGGAACCCCCATACCAGGTACTCACACATGGTACAATTTCTCAATCCCCAATTACACAGGACACCCTATACCAGGTACTCACACATGGTACAATTTCTCAATCCCCAATTACACAGGAACCCCATACCAGGTACTCACACATGGTACAATTTCTCAATCCCCAATTACACAGGAACCCCCATACCAGGTACTCACACATGGTACAATTTCTCAATCCCCAATTACACAGGAACCCCTATACCAGGTACTCACACATGGTACAATTTCTCAATCCCCAATTACACAGGAACCCCATAACAACCTACTCGGACAGGCAAGAAGATCGTAAATGTGGGTTTTATTCGATACATAAGTACTTTGAGAGATGTGGGTACAGAACTCTTCTGTCATTCTGCTTTGCAGCCTACTGTGTATACAGTGGTGCCAAGTTCTTCCAGGGCGACACATGGAATGATGGCTGTGACAAGCGATGTCGCTGTGAAGATTCTGTGAAGGGTCTCTACGTCTGCAATGACAGGTCAGAAACCCATCTATGAGTTCAATCGGAATGTGAAAATATGTATCTTATTCAAGAGGAGATTATTTCATCTATAGTTTGAAGATGATCTTAAAGAACACATTTGTCAAAAAAGTTGACATATTTGTTGAAGGCGTTAATATCGTCAGCAGGATGTCGTGGCTGTCCTAGAAGGTCCAACTAAAAGAGTTATGCTTCCTTCTTTTCTAAGACTGACTGACTGACTGACTGACTGACTGAGTTTGGTTTTACGCCGCTTTTAGCAATATTCCAGCACCATCACTGCGGGGAACACCAGAAATGGGCTTCACACATTGTACCCATGTGGGGATTCGAACCCGGGTCTTCGGCGTGACGAGCCAACGCTTTAACCACTAGGCTAACCCACCGCCCCTCTTTTCTAAGAATCTGTGCGTGTTTTAAAGCGGAATATTGATCAGAATGGCAAAGCTGAATGTCATGAGATTATAAATGACGAAGAAGTTTTAAAGGAGAATACGAAGAGCATGTTTTTCACAAAGTAAACAAGACGTTTATGGTCCTAACCATGCATCTGTGCACATTAATATTCAAATTCTCATTTTTTGGAACTCATTTCCATCCTCATTAACAGTCAATAAACAAAATTGATGTCAACTTTATGTTAACTGTAGAAAAGGAATGCACCATCATTGTGTCAACCTTTGGTATTATATTTTCGAAAAAGACAAATAGAAGCGTGTATTTACGATGTATGGCATTGTGAGTCGGTACATTGTGTTACAGATGTCCCCAGTACGGCAGTCTGCCAGCACAATGTTCATTTATAGCTGACCCCAAGGACCAGTGCTGTAGAGTCCCGTCCTGTCAGTTTGTACCTACTCAGGGTCAGATCACTGGCACCATGACACCCAACATGATCCCTACGGCTGTGCCCGGTAAAATCACTGGACAGGTTCCCACCCCGACCACAGGGCCTGATGGAAAGACCCCAGCGCCAATCAGTAGGTATTTTATACTCATGTAATGTAAGTGCACTGGCTGATTGTCACATAATATACTGTAACATTAATGTACCTTGCACTTTGTGATAACTTGCGGTCCTAGAAAACGTATAGGTAGAAACGTCTATGTTGCTGTTCTACAAGACCCGCTAGTAACTGATATGTTGCTGTTCTATCAGACCACTGCATCTACAAGAGCCAGATCTACCAGCAGGGTCAGGAATGGGAGGATGGTTGCGACTACCACTGCACTTGCCAGGATGCACTCAATGGGAAATATGTTTGCAAGGAAAAGTATGTTCTGGACGCCAATATCCGCGTTGTCACCACCCTCTAGTCTTCATCCATTCTGCACCATATTTTTAACAATTTTGATTATACTCTGAAATCACGTTACTGATAGTACACTTTATTGATATAAAAATATCAGGACAGATTCATTTGTTAACAGCGTGGTTTGAACATTCAAGGACGAAACATTTACGAATCGTAATTTTAATTACAACAGTTATTTCTTATTGACAATCGTTTCCAGGTGTGCACAATACAACAACCTTCCCCCGCAGTGTAGACTGGTGAAAGATGCAAGTAACCCATGCTGCATGACTCCAAACTGTATTTTCTCTGGCACAAACGGTGGGCTCTCAGGCATTGGACAGATAACACCAAAACCTAATGTCTCACCCTCCCAAGGAACTGGGCCTACCCCTAATCCCAATGTTACACCAACACCTAAACTGCCCAAATGTGAGTATATAAACACACTGTCATCTACAACTGATTATATTATTTTTCGTATTAAACTTTACAATAAGCAATAAACAAACAGCTGGTTAATCATGTTGAAACTGTTCTTCTTTCTCAGCCGTATGTGTGTACCGGGGCCAGCCCTATACCCAGGGTCAAACCTGGTTTGATGGGTGTACCTACAAGTGTGTATGTGAGAACGCGGACCAGGGCGTGTACAGATGTGATAACAGGTTAGTGTGTGTTTGGATACAGAATAGTTCATGCTCATTTGTGTTCCGTGAAATCAGTCGGGATGAAGTATTCATGGTTATGAAAGAGATCTGTAGAGAAGCTACTGGTAGCTCCAGTATATCAGCTGTGGTGTTAGTGCCTCCTACTTCCCTTGTGGGATTACTTGTACTTGAGGACTCAGGTTTCTGCGGATAGTACGCTGGATGTTCAAAGAGAAAATTGTGTGCACATAGCCTCAACAAACTCGTGACATTGTCTTGGTTCCAACAAGGTGTCCAGCATGGGATAAACTTCCATCCGAGTGCCGTCTGGTGGCTGATCCTAAAGACCCGTTCTGCTGCACGGTACCGAAGTGTGACTTCAAGCCTCATTCCGGCCACACCACGGGCTTTGTCCTGCCTTCTGTAGCCCCGGGGACCATAACTGGTGGCGCTGTGATCCCTACACCTGGGCCTGACGTCACCCCCAAACCCGGAGTGTCTCCTTCTCCCGGCGTCTACCCACAGCCTACACAAGCCCCTGTACCCCAGGGTACGTCTCAATCATACATTACGGTAGAATACAGCCAAGAATTATCGTCATAACATGTCAGCTTGGATGCCGGGAAATATTCAGAAGTACTTATAGTAAATGTGATGAAATCTGCTTTGTGTTGTGTAGGTGTGTGTGTTTACAAAGGGAAGACCTACCAGAAAGGACAGCAGTGGCAAGATGGTTGTGACTACAACTGCGAGTGCCTTGATGTTACCGGCAAATACAAGTGCACGGAGCGGTCAGTACTAACACAACAAACACAATGTCTAATATATTTCACCACTACATGCATGGTGAAGTTGTTAAGAATTGATAAAAAAACAGCAATAAAAATTCATTGGTTGGGATTAAAAATGTATGTAATACAGGCTGTATGATGCGTTACAGGTGTCCTCGCTATGGTTCAATCCCTAGTGAGTGTAGAATGGTACAGGACATCTACAACCCATGTTGTGAGAAACCCTACTGTGACTTCACACCGGGTCACGGTTCAATCTCGGGTACCGGTCTACCAGGCGTCTCTCCAACTGCTTCGCCCACACCCAAAAGTATGAAGTTTTCACGTCCTCCTGTATTCTAACCTTGCCACACGAAAACAACATCTTGAGATGTAGTGCAGATTGGGTCATGTCAGCAGACATCCAAGTTTCTGTGTGGAATTTGTTCCTTGACTCTCTGAACGGTTTATGTCATGATGTGTTTCAGAGATGTGTGTGTACAACGGAGTGGCCTACGACAAGGGTCAGACGTGGACCGATGGCTGTCAACTGAAATGTACCTGTGAAGACTCCGTCCAGGGAGTGTATAGATGCGATCAGAGGTCAGGAAATATGTTTTAAAGAAACCATAAAATTGTGAACAAGCATTGAGTTTTCTTCTCAAGAATGTATTTTAAATGCGCGCAGGGCGTCTTCCCCGTGATAAAGGGGACTCAAAAAAACAATAGAATCATATACTGGTGCCTTTGGTTTGTTTAGATGTGCTAGGTACGACACAGTTCCCGACGGCTGCAGCCTGACAACTGACCCAAGTGATTCCTGCTGCCGTGTTCCCAACTGCAGCCCCATTCCAAACCCAACACCCAGCCAGACAACCTATGGCCCGGGTATATCTCCATCAATACCACCAACCTATGGCCCAGGGATCAATCCTAACATCGCTGCTACCCCGCAGCCATACCTGTTCCCCACCGCACCGCCTGGCAAGATCACCGGGCAGACTGTCAACAACCCCGACAAGAATCATCCCCAGAACACATGTAGGTACACTAGTTATCCCCAGGACGTCTCCTTACATTTGCCATCAGTGTCTCCTTACAGTTGAAATCAGTGTCTGTGTACAGTTGCCATCCGTGGCTCCTTACAGTTGCCATCAGTGTCTCTGTACAGTTGCCATCAGTGTCTCTGTACAGTTGCCATCAGTGTCTCTGCACAGTTGCCATCAGTTTCCTTAGTTGCCATCAGTGTCTCTGTACAGTTGCCATCAGTGTCTCTGTACAGCTGCCATCAGTGTCTCCTTACAGTTGTCATCAGTGTCTCTGTACAGTTGTCATCAGTGTCTCTGTACAGTTGTCATCAGTGTCTCTGTACAGTTACCATCAGTGTCTCTGTACAGTTGTCATCAGTGTCTCTGTACAGTTGCCATCAGTGTCTCTGTACAGTTGCCATCAGTTTCTCTTTACAATTGTGTGACAAAAGGTATATGTGTACTTACAATTGTGAGAGTAATGGGGTGTCTCTGTACAGGTGTGTGAGTAATGGGGTATCTCTGTACAGCTGTGTGAGTAATGGGGTATCTCTGTACAGGTGTGTGAGTAGTGGGGTGTCTCTGTACAGGTGTATGAGTAATGGGGTGTCTCTGTACAGGTGTGTGAGTAATGGGGTGTCTCTGTACAGGTGTGTGAGTAATGGGGTGTCTCTGTACAGCTGTGTGAGTAATGGGGTGTCTCTGTACAGGTGTGTGAGTAATGGGGTGTCTCTGTACAGCTGTGTGAGTAATGGGGTATCTCTGTACAGGTGTGTGAGTAGTGGGGTATCTCTGTACAGGTGTGTGAGTAATAGGGTGTCTCTGTACAGGTGTGAGAGTAATGGGGTATCTCTGTACAGCTGTGTGTGTAGTGGGGTGTCTCTGTACAATTGTGAGAGTAATGGGGTGTCTCTGTACAGGTGTGAGAGTAATGGGGTGTCTCTGTACAGATGTGTGAGTAATGGAGTATCTCTGTACAGGTGTGTGAGTAATGGGGTATCTCTGTACAGGTGTGTGAGTAATGGAGTATCTCTGTACAGGTGTGTGAGTAGTGGGGTGTCTCTGTACAGGTGTGTGAGTAGTGGGGTGTCTCTGTACAGGTGTGTGAGTAGTGGGGTGTCTCTGTACAGGTATGTGAGTAATGGGGTGTCTCTGTATAGGTGTGTGAGTAATGGGGTATCTCTGTACAGGTGAGTAGTGGGGTGTCTCTGTACAGCTGTGTGAGTAATGGGGTGTCTCTGTACAGGTGTGTGAGTAATGGGGTGTCTCTGTACAGCTGTGTGAGAAATGGGGTGTCTCTGTACAGCTGTGTGAGTAGTGGGGTGTCTCTGTACAGGTGTGTGAGTAGTGGGGTATCTCTGTACAGCTGTGTGAGTAATGGGGTGTCTCTGTACAGCTGTGTGAGTAATGGGGTATCTCTGTACAGGTGTGTGAGTAGTGGGGTGTCTCTGTACAGCTGTGTGAGTAGTGGGGTGTCTCTGTACAGGTGTGTGAGTAGTGGGGTGTCTCTGTACAGGTGTGTGAGTAATTGGGTATCTCTGTACAGCTGTGTGAGTAGTGGGGTGTCTCTGTACAGATGTGTGAGTAATTAGTATCTCTGTACAGCTGTGTGAGTAATGGGGTGTCTCTGTACAGCTGTGTGAGTAATGGGGTATGTCTGTACAGCTGTGTGAGTAATTGGGCGTCTCTGTACAGTTCTATGAGCAATGGGACGTGTCTTTACTGTTCTCACACTAATGGTTTGCCTATATAGTGTTGTACTGCATATTAGTGGTGTTCCGATTAATTGAAATAATCGAAGATTGGTCGCAGTGACCAAACGACCAAGCAATCGATCACATTTTCTCATTATCGAACATAAACGATTTTGGAACTACTGTTTTAGTCTTTGAAATACTTGACAATGGAACGTATCTTGTTAGGGCCTGAAAACGTGTTAATTCACTTCACTATCTGAAAAATCATGACGGAAGTTTATGTTCATGATATATCAGTCATCACTTTAAAGTAGCAGGTTGCATCATGTTATACATATCTGTAATTACAACCTGGATAGGAAAATCTGAAAAATGACGATAACCAATTCTTTTCGATGATTGTTCGTTGGTAATGAAGCAATCATCTATTGTGAGATTTCAACCAATTCCCAACACTACTGCATATTCCTATACATTTAGGGGCCAAATTGAACCTTGTTTAATTTGATTGTGAACTTTGCACGCCGCTATCCCGAATAACAAACGTACGGTAAACCTTCACGCCTTGCTCACTGGGGCATATGTTGGGAGACATGGTGACCACATCTTCAGGAGTGACAAAAATACCCTCACGATGTCATGACAAGAGATATGACTTTAGCCTCAATAGAGCTTGCTAAACGTTTCATGGTATTCGTCACAGTTTCCCAGTTTAACGCATTAGTGACTAAACGATGGTTGGAAGTTTAACGCATTAGTGACTAAACGATGGTTGGAAGTCCAATGCAAATCCCATTTTTGGACTTGTATCATACGTTCCCATGTTTTTCGGATGAACAGTTGACAAGTTTTACATGTGTTAGCATGTGGTTGGTGGGATTATGTGAACACGTGATAGCATAACTATTGGATACTTGATAGCGATATAGCCGAAAGCGTGTAACTGACTTTTGCAGGGGTTTCCTGAGTATAGTAAGGGTTTTGTTTACCTTTGCCACAGTTGTGTGACAACCTGCGTGTGTAATTAGTTTCTGCGACTGAATGTCTCTTTACGAATGTTGATGGTGTGCCTCTTTACAGAGGTGCGAGTAATGACGTACTTCTTTACAGTTGTTTCACTATTTATCGTGTTTTTAGAGTTTTGTGACTGATGGCGGGTCTATATACTTGTGTGATAAATGATGTGTCCCTTTGCAGCTGTGTGTCTGTACCATGGAGTGGCGTACACACAGGGCCAGAAATGGACTGATGGATGCGATTACCAGTGTGAATGTACTGACCAGTACAGCGGCAAATACATCTGTACCGAGAGGTGACACAACTCTATCTAGAGTCTACAGCAGTAACTGCAGCATAATGTCGCACATGGTTACATACCTTCAGTGTGATTACAAATGTCATTCAAATAATATGTAATTTCAACGTGGCACATCCTTTACTATAGCACATCTCAGCATGTAATATATAATATATTAGTATCTCTACAGGTGCATGTTGGTGCTACATTGACTATTGGAGTCACGTGCAGTATTTTGTTGTACAGGTGTTCAGTTTTCCTGAACACGCCACCTTTCTGTGTAATGGCCGTGGATCCCACTGACAACTGTTGCAAGAAGCCGATGTGCAGCCCGCTTACTGGTCTGACGCCAAGCCCTCATAGCACACCCGCCCCCACCCCGGGGGTCAACGTGTCACCAGGAGTCAGTCCCACTCCCGCCACTGGTGTTAGACCAACGCCTACAGGTGAAAGTTCCTAATACCGAAACACTAAACATCATACCTCTATGATATACAATGTACCAAACACCATGCCAATATTACAAATATCATACCTCTATATCTAACATTATTCAAAAGTACCAAACACCATACCAATATTACAAACATCAGACCGCTATATCTAACAGTATACAATGTACCAAGCACCATGCCAATAATACAAACATCAGACCGCTATATCTAGCATTATACAAAAGTACCAAACACCATACCAATATTACAAACATCAGACCGCTATATCTAACATTATTCAAAAGTACCAAACACCATACCAATATTACAAACATCAGACCGCTATATCTAACAGTATACAATGTACCAAACACCATGCCCATATTACAAGTTCTCACACCAATGGTTTGCCTATATAGTGTTGTACTGCACATTAGTGGTGTTCCGATTAATTGAAATAATCGAAGATTGGTCGCAGTGACCAAACGACCAAGCAAACGATCATACTTTTCATTATCGAACATAAACGATTTTGGGAACTACTGTTTTAGTCTTTGAAAACTTGACAATGAAACGTAATCTTGTTAGGGCCTGGAAACGTGTTAATTCACTTCAATTATCTGGAAAAAATGACATAAGACAGGGAAGTTTATGTTCATGATATATCAGTCATCACTTTAAAGTAGCAGGTTGCATCATGTTATACATATCTGTAATTACAACCTGGATAGGAAAATCTGAAAAATGACGATAACTAATTCTTTTCGATGATTACCCGTTGGTAATGAAGCAATCATCTATTGTGAGATTTCAACCATTCCCAACACTACTGCATATTCCCTATACATTTAGGGGCCAAATTGAACCTTTGTTTAATTTGATTGTGAACTTTGCACGCCGCTATCCTGCGAATAACAAACGTACGGTAAACCTTCACGCCTTGCTCATGGGGCATATGTTGGGAGACATGGTGACCACATCTTCAGGAGTGACAAAATACCCTCACGATGTCATGACAAGAGATATGACTTAGCCTCAATAGAGCTTGCTAAACGTTTCATGGTATTCGTCACAGTTTCCCAGTTTAACGCATTAGTGACTAAACGATGGTTGGAAGTTTAACGCATTAGTGACTAAACGATGGTTGGAAGTCCAATGCAAATCCCATTTTGGACTTGTATCATACGTTCCCATGTTTTCGGATGAACAGTTGACAAGTTTTACATGTGTTAGTATGTGGTTGGTGGGATTATGTGAACACGTGATAGCATAACTATTGGATACTTGATAGCGATATAGCCGAAAGCGTGTAACTGACTTTTGCAGGGTTTCCTGAGTATAGTAAGGGCTTTGTTTACCTTTGCCACAGTTGTGTGACAACCTGCGTGTGTAATTAGTTTCTGCGACTGAATGTCTCTTTACGAATGTTGATGGTGTGCCTCTTTACAGAGGTGCGAGTAATGACGTACTTCTTTACAGTTGTTTCACTATTTTATCGTGTTTTTAGAGTTTTGTGGACTGATGGCGGGTCTATATACTTGTGTGATAAATGATGTGTCCCTTTGCAGCTGTGTGTCTGTACCATGGAGTGGCGTACACACAGGGCCAGAAATGGACTGATGGATGTGATTACCAGTGTGAATGTACTGACCAGTACAGCGGCAAATACATCTGTACCGAGAGGTGACACAACTCTATCTAGAGTCTACAGGCAGTAACTGCAGCATAATGTCGCACATGGTTACATACCTTCAGTGTGATTACAAATGTCATTCAAATAATATGTAATTTCAACGTGGCACATCCTTTACTATAGCACATCTCAGCATGTAATATATAATATATTAGTATCTCTACAGGTGCATGTTGGTGCTACATTGACTATTGGAGTCACGTGCAGTATTTTGTTGTACAGGTGTTCAGTTTTTCCTGAACACGCCACCTTTCTGTGTAATGGCCGTGGATCCCACTGACAACTGTTGCAAGAAGCCGATGTGCAGCCCGCTTACTGGTCTGACGCTAAGCCCTCATAGCACACCTGCCCCACCCTGGGGTCAACGTGTCACCAGGAGTCAGTCCCACTCCCGCCACTGGTGTTAGACCAACGCCTACAGGTGAAAGTTCCTAATACTGAAACACTAAACATCATACCTCTAAGCGATATACAATGTACCAAACACCATGCCAATATTACAAACATCAGACCTCTATATCTAACATTATACAAAAGTACCAAACACCATACCAATATTACAAACATCAGACCGCTATATCTAACAGTATACAATGTACCAAACACCATGCCAATATTACAAACATCAGACCGCTATATCTAACATTATACAATGTACCAAACACCATACCAATATTACAAACATCAGACCGCTATATCTAACATTATACAATGTACCAAACACCATACCAATATTACAAACATCAGACCGCTATATCTAACAGTATACAATGTACCAAACACCATGCCCATATTACAAACATCAGACCGCTATATCTAGCATTATACAATGTACCAAACACCATACCAATATTACAAACATCAGACCGCTATATCTAACAGTATACAATGTACCAAACACCATACCAATATTACAAACATCAGACCGCTATATCTAACAGTATGCAATGTACCAAACACCATACCAATATTACAAACATCAGACTCTATATCTAACATTATACAAAAGTACCAAACACCATACCAATATTACAAACATCAGACTGCTTTATCTAACATTATACATTGTACCAAACACCATGCCAACATTACAAACATCAGACCGCTATATCTAACATTATACAATGTACCAAACACCATACCAATATTACAAACATCAGACTCTATATCTAACATTTTTTACAAAAGTGCCAAACACCATACCAATTTTACAAACATCAGACCGCTATATCTAACAGTATACAATGTACCAAACACCATGCCAATATTGCAAACATCAGACCGCTATATCTCACATTATACAATGTACCAAACACGATACCAATATTACAAACATCAGACCATTATATCTAACATTATACAATGTACCAAACACCATACCAATATTCCAAACATCAGACCGCTATATCTAACATTATACAATGTACGTAACACCATGCCAAAAATACAAACATCAGACCGCTATATCTAGCATTATACAAAAGTACCAAACACCATACCAATATTGCAAACATCAGACCGCTATATCTAACAGTATACAATGTACCAAACACCATGCCCATATTACAAACATCAGACCACTATATCTAGCATTATACAATGTACCAAACACCATACCAATATTACAAACATCAGACCGCTATATCTAACAGTATACAATGTACCAAACACAATACCAATATTACAAACATCAGACCGCTATATCTAACATTATACAATGTACCAAACACCATACCAATATTACAAACATCAGACTCTGTATCTAACATTATACAAAAGTACCAAACACCATACCAATATTACAAACATCAGACTGCTTTATCTAACATTATACATTGTACCAAACACCATAACAATATTACAAACATCAGACCGCTATATTTAACAGTATACAATGTACCAAACACCATGCCAATATTACAAACATCAGACTCTATATCTAACATTTTTTACAAAAGTGCCAAACACCATACCAATTTTACAAACATCAGACCGCTGTATCTAACAGTATACAATGTACCAAACACCATACCAATATTGCAAACATCAGACCGCTATATCTCACATTATACAATGTACCAAACACGATACCAATATTACAAACATCAGACCATTATATCTAACATTATACAATGTACCAAACACCATACCAATATTACAAACATCAGACCACTATATCTAACAGTATACAATGTACCAAACACCATGCCAATATTACAAACATCAGACCGCTATATCTAACATTATACAATGTACCAAACACCATACCAATATTACAAACATCAGACCGCTATATCTAACAGTATACAATGTACCAAACACCATACCAATATTACAAACATCAGACCGCTATATCTAACATTATGCAATGTACCAAACACCATACCAATATTACAAACATCAGACTCTATATCTAACATTATACAAAAGTACCAAACACCATACCAATATTACAAACATCAGACTGCTTTATCTAACATTATACATTGTACCAAACACCATGCCCACATTACAAACATCAGACCGCTATATCTAACATTATACAATGTACCAAACACCATGCGAATATTACAAACATCAGACTCTATATCTAACATTTTTTACAAAAGTACCAAACACCATACCAATTTTACAAACATCAGACCGCTATATCTAACAGTATACAATGTACCAAACACCATGCCAATATTACAAACAACAGACCGCTATCTCTAACATTATACAATGTACCAAACACCATACCAATATTTCAAACATCAGACCATTCTATCTAACATTATACAATGTACCAAACACTATACCAATATTACAAACATCAGACCGCTATATCTAACATTATACAATGTACCAAACACCATGCCAATATTACAAACATCAGACCACTATATCTAACAGTATACAATGTACCAAACACCATACCAATCTTACAAACATCAGACTCTGTATCTAACATTATACAATGTACCAAACACCACGCCAATATTACAAACATCAGACCGCTATATCTATATACTAACCATACCAATATACAAAATGTACTAAAACAAACCATACCAATATTACAAACATCAGACTATATCACTATATCTAACGCTATATCTAACATTATACAATGTACCAAACACCATACCAATATTACAAACATCAGACCACTATATCTAACATTATACAATGTACCAAACACCATACCAATATTACAAACATCAGACCACTATATCTAACAGTATGCAATGTACCAAACACCATACCAATATTACAAACATCAGACCGCTATATCTAACATTATACAATGTACCAAACACCATACCAATATTACAAATATAATACCTCTATCTTTAACATTATACAAAAGTACAAAAAAACATACCAATATTACAAACACAATATGGATATGCCAACCACCACACCGATATACTGAACCATCTCACAAATATAGCAGAAGTCAGACCAGTATACCAAACAGGATACCAATATTACTAAAATCATAGTATTACCAAAAGAGCAAACATTTACCAAAAATTGTCACATTACCAAACATCATACCAATGTACCACATAGACGGCCGTGTTCCAAGGGCACTCCTTGTTTGACTCCCCCCTTCATGTTGCCTGAAAGAGCTTGTTTTGGAGATACTACTCATCCCCTTTCAGATGACATAATCATAAGGACATAACTTATTCTCATGTTTTCACTATTCATATACATGATGCCAAGGGTTCAAACTAAACACTGAATGGTCACACAAGTGTCAGCTCTCAATATATTGTAATCAGTGCCAGCTTGAATATCTGGACACAATGTTTTAGGAAGATTGAAATGGGGGTGTCCTTAAAAAACAGCCCTCGACTAAATATAAATTAAGCAATCCAAATCTGTGACTGTTGATTATGACAGGAAGTCATCCAATACTATACTGAACATATTGTATATGATATACTCTGTGGGCCATTATCCAAGAGGTACCAAATGACAGATCGTTTTTCACTTTCTGCAGTTTTATTAGAAATATTATACCCTAGTGTGTTGTGATGACTAATATCTCGTTAACCACATTACCCACATATATGACTTTGCTAAAGCTCCTTCAAAATAAAATGGAAGCTTTTCAAACATTGGACACCGAGAATACAGTTAGTGTACGTACTTCTTGATCTACCCGCGGACAATATAGCGGACATCCAACTAAAGAACCATGAAGTATACCAGTTTAACACACACCAGACCAGTATATCAAACGTCTATACCAATATACACAACATCGTCCAGTATGCCAACATCCTGCCATTATACAAGCGCTATTGTGTTTGTGCATTGTCGTGAACTGAATGTGTTTGTGTGTAGGTGTGTGTGTGTACCGAGGAACCACCTATGTCCAGGGCCAGCAGTGGTACGATGGATGCACCAAGTCATGTATATGTGAAGATGGGAAGACTGGTTTCTACAGATGCAGTGATAGGTATGACATGTGTTAAGGAATCGTGTAGTGTAGTTACGAATGATGCAGAATAACCAGTAATGTCACAGCTACGTTTTGCCTTTTCTTCAAATGTCAGTGATCTATATATTTCATATGAATAAATTCAAATATCATTAAAATCAGTGTTTACGTATTACGATTTGTGATAAACAAAATAATTTCATAACAAGAATCACAATACAAACACATCCTCATTCAGTATGCTTTCCTATATATTCGGTGTTCTTTTAACTTCAAGTTAATGTATGGCGCTAACAAATTCTATATGTGTGTAGGTGTGCCAAATACGACAACCTTCCACAACAGTGCCGCATGGTTGCCGATCCAAAAGACCCGCAATGCTGTCAGGTTCCTGAGTGTTCCCCTACCCCTGGCCCTAACGGCTACCCCACCCCGGGACCAGGCATTTCACCCACGCCATCAGTCGTAACCAATGTGCCTGGCTTTGTGACTGGAGTGGCTCCGACCCCTACAGCTGGACCTGACGGCAAAACACCAGCACCGACACGTAAGTGCCTGGATCCACATGTTGATGGTCTGTCGCTCTGTCGTATAGTGTAGACTTAGTAACTTAGGCAGACAGCAGTAGAAATTCCCTTTTTGATTCCAGTTGCATGCATCTACAAGGGCCGCACGTACCGGGAAGGAGAACAATGGCAGGATGGCTGCCAGTATAACTGTGTGTGTGAAGATGAAGTGACGGGCAAATATAAGTGTACCGAGAGGTCAGTCATATTTTATATAAAATGCACATTACTAAATAATTATCATATATATAAATCAGTATTGCATATTTTCAGCTCTCCTGTGATAAAGATAGAACGTATTTTGCAGATGTGCTAAGTATCCATTCATCCCGCCCCAATGTTCACTACGGAGAGATACGGACAATGATTTCTGCTGCTATAAGATGGTGTGTGACTTCGCCAAACCTACCGTCAACCCGTATCAGACACCAACGCCCGGACCCAACCAGACGCCAGCACCCGTGATAAGTGAGTTGACACGTGACAGTACTCAATGTACTATCTGGGATTGGAAATTTACAACCTGATTTCATTTTTCGCAAACACAGCAGTTACCTTCTTGCAATTTGTTTGAAGACGATTAATTGTGCCGGTACGTTTAGACACAGTTACTATTTATACTATTTTGAAACATTTTACGAATCACTTATCTCTTCTGTGGCCCCAGGTTTCTGCATGTACAAGGGCGTGCCGTATCGTCAAGGTGAGGAGTGGACTGAGGGCTGTTTACAGAGGTGTAGGTGTGACGATGCCTCCCGGGATTATTACACATGTTCTAACAGGTATGTACTCTAGAACAGGCCAACAATGTTCACTCTAAAGAGAATTTGTTCTTTTCACCGACCAGATCTGGGCCCTAATTCTCGAAACGTTCGTAGCCTACGAATTCTTAACTTTGATCGTAGCCAATGTGTTAGGATGAGCTTAAGAAGTTTGTAGGGCTACGAACGTTTCGAGAATAAGGCCCAGTTCATTATCAGAGGTACCCATAAGTAGAAGTTTTGCTAATCTCCTATTTGTATGTCAGATGTCCGAGTTACGACATACCGCCATCGTCAACGTGCACCCAGGAAGTCGACCCCAGCGATGCCTGCTGTCGGGTTCCTCACTGTGTGCAGACTCCAACACCATCTCCTAATGTGGGACCCAGCCCTAATCCTAATGTCAAGCCCACCCCCAACCCTTACCCCCAGCCAACAATCATTCCTCATGGCACTATTGGTGGGGAAAATGCGAACAAGAACCCACTCACCAACCAAGGTAAAAACATACACTAACAGATCAGCTGGGCAATTGTCGGTTTCATAGGAAAACACTTGGAAAGTATTTGACAACAGCGTTTGGAATCCGATAGATAGCGCATTTGGCCGTGTTATTGGTATAGCGGTGCGAGTAACACACTGACATTCATGTTGGTCCACAAGGCTAGGTATATGCAGTGTGTTAAGTGTTGTATGTCGTATTTCAGGGTTCTGTATCTACAAGGGCAAGGTGTACAAGCAAGGCGACAGATGGCAAGATGGTTGTGACTACAATTGTGAATGTGTGGATGACAAGAGTGGGAAGTACACGTGTACAGAGAGGTATGAGTCACAAAAGAGAACCAGAAGAACTGAAACACGTAGAGCTGGAAAGGAAACCATATTAAATCATAAAGGCACCACTTCCTTATATTATATATTAATAGTAAAACTTGATATTGATAAATAATTATTATTCGTATTTTTCAGATGCAATAAAATTGCCAGCATTCCTGCCTTCTGTAACGTCATTCAGGACCCGTATGACACATGTTGCAAAAAGCCTGACTGTCCTACCATTTCACCAGTAGTGACGACTCAACGGCCAAATCCCTTCTCCTCTCAAACACCAAAATCTCCCAACCCTTTCCCGACGCCAAATCCAAATGGAACACCAAGTCCAAACAGTAAGACATGCCAAGACACAATGCCACGGGACCAATTCCTGTCCATTTACTTACTAATATATACTCTCCCCAAAAAGAAACGCATATAGGAATATATGTTTATGTTTATTTTGAAACATCTTGTAGGCTTTATGAGTCAATGGAATATAGCGAAATTGCACACTGGGAATGCAGACTTATCCGTCTTTGGCACCAACTCGAGGAAAGTCAGTTTGAGTGTCACATGGAGACGTGTGGTGGCGCTGAAGTCAGTACCTCGTGTGACCACCGTGGGCATTCAGAAATGCACGGCATCGCCTCGAATAAGTCTCAGAATCTGTTGTTGCCCAATCGCAGCCCACTCTGCCCGTAGTGCCTGTGCGAGTTGCTGAAGTGTCTGGGGCTGAGGGTTACGGCGTCGCACCCGTCTGTCCAGGGCATCCCACAGATGTTCGATCGGGGTTAAGTCCGGTGATCTCTGATGTTGTGGTTCTGGAGGAAGTCTCTAGTGTGACGTGCTGTGTGGGGCCTGGCATTGTCCTGTTGAAACAGCTCCCTCTGGCGATCAATGATTGGAATGAGGTGTGGGCGTAGTATTTCGTCACAGTACCGTTGAGCTGTCAGGTTGCCCTGGATCATCACCAAATCACTTCTCCTACGGCAGGTGATCGCTCCCCACATCATAACACTGTCCCGGCCGAATCTGTCCACCTGGGGAACGCAAGCGTCGGCGAAACGTTCACGTCGACGTCTGTACACCCGCATTCTTCCATCGCGTCGCTCCAATAGAAATGGTGATTCATCACTGAACCAGATTCTACGCCCATTCGGTAGGTTCCATGCCTGAACGTTGGTGCACCATTGAACTCGATGTCGACGATGTTGTTGTTGAAGCACAGGGTCAAAATAAGGTCTTCTGGCACGTAAACCAGCCTCTCTCAACCTGTTCCTGACGGTCTGTGCAGAAAGCCTCCTCAATCCGGGTATTTGTCGAGCGATACTGGTCGCCGTAGCTGTTCGATGACGCAGGTGATGTACCCGGATGTAGCGATCCTGCGCCGCAGTGGTCGCTCGAGGTCGCCCACTACGAGGGGCATCTGCTACCGCATTCTTCCGGCGATATCTCTCCCAGAGCCGTGAAATGGAGCTTTGGTGAACATTCATGCGTCGGGCAACTGCACGTTAAGACTGGCCAGCTTCAAGCAAGCCAATGGCGATATGACGGTTGGCTTCACTTAGACGTGACATGTTGCGTCCGTCAACAAAATTCCAAATACAGTGAATAATCGACAGACTGCGATCAACCTTTTATACCCATCATTGAGACTATCTGATCCCCAACTTTCACGTGCATTGCATGTGAATTGTGTATTCTGTGACACTACACGCCGAAATTGAAAATCATGCTGTTAAATACGGGTATTTTACGGATGGTGCGTTTTGTTGTGATGTTTCAAAACATAAACACCATAGGACTCATAAACAGAGCAAAACCTTTTGTAAAATGGATCACGTTTGAATTCATTGCTACATGAAATTGCTAGTTTCATGATGCTTTTCTTTTTTGGGAGAGTATATATTTATATATACCAACTTTTGATTGAAATAATATACCCCTGGTCGTTGACTGTTTACAATTGTAGCATTCACCCTTGTATATGTGTGAACCCCAGTTGACATGTCTGTGTTTGATCTGTGGGTACACTTGATGTTGTTCACAGATGTATGCGTGTATAAGGGACAGTCCTACACGCAAGGCCAGCAGTTCTTTGATGGATGTAATAAAAAGTGTGTTTGTGAAGATTCATCAACGGGCCGATACTCGTGTGTAGACAGGTGAGACACAGTATAGATACAATGGATATCCAGAATCAGACAGATTTTGAAATGTATTTGTCAGTGATATGGCATGAGTTGTCACACGTTGAACTGACGTTGATCTCACAGTATTGGTTTACTGTGTCAAATTCAGTTTACCTAATTGCAATAAGTTACAACATAAAACTATATCTACTTACAGGTGCCCGAGCTACAGCAGTATTGCCCCTAACTGTGTGATGGTGCCCGACCCCCTTGACCCCACCTGCTGCCAGGCTCCCCAGTGTAACAACCAGCCACATCAAACCCCTACTGGGATACAGGGTACTATCACGGGCTACGGCAAGCCACCTACACCCGCACCACAAGCCACTCCACTCCCAGGAGGCATCACCCCGACACCCGGTGTCACCCAGCAACCAACACCTGCATCCGGTAGAGGTTTTATACTGGTTCATGCACATCATACTGAAAAGTTGTCATTGTGCCGTCTTTACTTGACAAACTTGACAATCTGCAGTTTAAATACTTGTCACCAACAGAAACGTTTCTCTTATTTTTCTGAACATTCTGTCTAAATTCCTGGAAATCACTGATTACGCCTTGTGAACGCACGACATCATGAAAAACATTTCTGTTTCAGGGTGTGTGTACAAGAGCAAACTGTACACGCCCGGGCAGACATGGGCGGATGGCTGCGACTACACATGTGTGTGTGAAGATGGGATGACAGGCAAATACCAGTGCACGGAGAAGTAGGTTGAACAGTTGTATGCTGCCAATAATTATACACTCTTGTGGAATGTCTGCATCAGACTGTAGTATCGCAATTATTAAATGTCTTGAACGATGCTATCAATTCTGTAAAGTAGAATCAGTTTTGAGATTACAGCAGACCGATGTGCCTTGTTGAAGACGTATAGTGAGCGTATGTTCCCTTTTGTAGATGCCCCAAGTACCCCAACATGGCGCCCGGCTGTCGCATGGTAGCAGACTTTACCAACCCCTGTTGCATGAAGCCTGATTGTACGGCTCCCACCCCAGGACCATCCGTCAAGCCACCCTTGGGACAGACGCCTGCCCCAACATCCTCACCCCCACTCAATCCTTCTTTGGGTGAGGCAGTGCTACTACTCTGTATAGCAGTTTAGCGTTGATAGGCACACAATATTAACCTACATATATTTTGAATGTGACCATCGACCATTGATATCACATTACTTCTTAGATCGAAATATATATAATGATGATTCTGCTATGTTGAATGTAGATTTCTGTGTGTACAATGGTGTTCCCATCAAGCAAAGTCAGACAGTGAATGTTGGGTGTGACAAGGTGTGCCGCTGTGATGACGCCATGACTGGCCAGGTCAACTGTGATGACAGGTGAACTTTCAACATTTGTATTCACACTTTCTTCACTTCCCTCAGATGTGTATTTTCATCTTCTTCACCTCAACTTTATCCAAACTGCTAAGTTTTCCGTACCTTTAGGAGTGATGGTCATATGATAGTTGTCTGCATGGTAAACTGTTGTCGTGTTCCAGGTGTGCTACATACCCACAACTGAAGCCCGGATGTACGAAGATAACTGACCCCAATGATGCTTGCTGCCAGATTCCAAAGTGCAATAGCCCCAACACAAATGGTAACCAACATTGATATTGACCGAGCGTCCCGTTCCATGGTCTTTGCTTCGAACCTGGTTCATCTGGTTCGAAATATCCTTCGTCCGTTCGGCCGTCGATCCGTTGAGGCATATTGCCGCCATCCTTATTCATCTGTCCGGTATCGCCCATATCCTTCCTTTGCGGGGATCCTGAGTCGATATATCTATTTCGGAATCGCCGATTTCTGAATGAAACGATTGCCGGAAAGCATTCGTTCGTAGTCGCTTTATTTAATTTATTGGCATCGAAGACTTGCCCTTTGTCCTTTCGGTTCCGGCCTTTGCCGATGAGCGTTCACCAGCCCGTCGGTATCGTTTTCGGTGATTCTGGAGCGAACGATACCACGAAGTCCGCGTTCGCCGTTCATCATCGTAGAGGTCGGTCGCCAGGGGAGTTGCCATTTTAGTCCGGGAATTGTTTTGTAATCGGTCAGCGCATTCTCCTTTGAAGAAGTCCTTTATTTTGGTTTCCGCGATGAGACTGATGAGCCTTTGCCGTTTCGGTCGTAGCCTTTATCAACGGTTCTTTGATATCCAGTTCGCAGCGCATTTGGCATGCCGGCATCCGGTTGTTCGCCCGATTGGTATGGTCGGTGTTTAGCAGCATAGTCCCTGCATCCTGAAGTTGTCGTTTCGCCCGAGAAGCATTGTCCAGTTCAGCGTCCGCACCGAAAGAGTACCGGTTTAAGCGTCCGGTCTGCCCGTCGGATACTTTCGTCCATCGCTCTGTCGATTCAATGGCGAAGTCCATGAAGCGAGCAGCCATATGGTTTTGACGGCCCGTTTATCTGTCGTCCTGCCGGTCGTTATTCCTTATTCCGGGCGATGAAACCGTTTTGCGCGGTTATCGTCCGAAATGGCTTCCCATTTTGATTTCGGTTTCCGAAGAACATCGTTCAGCAATATCCCCATCCATCCTGGACAGCGTAACGGAGTTCGGTCGTCCTCGCTTACCATGGCCTTCGTTTCGAAGAGTAATATTCCGCTGTCCGTTCCCAGTTATTCAGCCCCGTATGCTGCCATCCCAGGTCTGTTCCGGAATGTCCCATCCCGAGCATCCGGCTATTTCATCCCGTTCAGCCGGTTCGGCCATTTGCGTTCGGCATTGAACGTCCATCTGTTCATTCATTCTGGCGGAATATCCTCTGAGTTCGTTCGTTCTGCTCGATCCACCGTCGTCCCTTCCGAAACGGCCTTGTCAGATTTGATGTTCCACGTTTTCATTGAGGCCGCCCGGAAGGTGGCTGATTTGACGGTTCCGTTCCGCCACCTCAGCGCCATTTCGTTCCGCATCAATATCCAGTCACTTCATACGGTTCAGCCGCTACGTGCCGGAGCAATGCCGCCTGTCCCGGATGGCGTTAACGGACGGTTGCGTCATTATGCGGTTTGGAGTTCGCTGCGTCCGAATGGTCGCAAAATGCCAGCAGCCCCAGTCCAGCCCGGCCCCTTTGTCCTGTCCGGTTCTGTTCCAGCGTTTATCTCTTAGAAGGATGGAAGGAATGGAAGAATGGAATGGAATGGAGGAATGGAAGGAATGGAGGATGGAATGGAATGGAATGGAATGGAATGGAATGGAAGGAATGGAATGGATGGAATGGAAAGGAATGGAATGGAATGGAATGGATGGAAGGAATGGAAGGAATGGAATGGGATGGAAGGAATGGAAGGAATGGAAGGAATGGAATGGAATGGAATGGAATGGAATGGAATGGAATGGAATGGAAGGAATGGAATGGAATGGAAGGAATGGAATGGAAGGAATGGAATGGAATGGAATGGAAGGAATGGAATGGATGGAATGGAATGGAATGGAAGGAATGGAATGGAAGGAAAAGGATGGAATGGAAGGAATGGATGGAATGGAAAGGAATGGAATGGAATGGAATGGAAGGAATGGGAATGGAATGGAATGGAAGGAATGGAATGGATGGAATGGAATGGAATGGAATGGAAACGTTACCCTCCTTCATTATTGACGGAGGTACCTGTCTTCAACTATCTTCAGCTGGCGTTGTGATGCATGGACGTCTACTTCTTGGTCTGTCTACGGTAACCCAAGTGTGTCTGTGGCGCTGAATATGTAATATAATCGTGATACGGTGGTATCCGAGGGCGTCGGCAACATCATTGTGTATCATATCATGCATTCTAGTCTCTCTTTATACCCTATAGAAGCATTCTACAGGGGAAATTGATGCAAATACTGCTTGAATATTGCTACGTTTTGGCGATTGGTATTGCTATGTGTAAACAGAAAATGGAAAAATGTTACTTTGCAAGAAAAGTGTTAACAAAGAAAATAATAGATGTTCCTAAACACTTTTTCAGAATATCAAAGACACGTTTTACTTATTTCCACTAATGCAAATCAGCAGAAAAAGCAGCAGTTTTAAAAGACTGAAATCATAGGAATGATTCTTACACAATTTTCACACTCTACAGTTTTACTTGTTTTTATAGTTGAAAAATGGTGACTTTGAATGTTTTATCTTTGTCTCAAGGCAGAGTTATATTTCAGCCTTTCTTTTGGACATCTAAATCAGTGTTATTGGTCTATTTCAGCATGGTCGAAAATAGGACACTTACCTCTTCTGAAAAAGATTCATTTCATTTAAATATGAATGCATTTGAGAATTTATTTTTCGTGATTTGCATAAAACTGTGTTGAGCATTCTTGTAAACTTATACGTACTAACACATCTTTGATAGTTTTTAAGTAATTCATGAAGTTAGGAGGGTAACGTTTCTTTTGGCGTTTAGTATATTTTGTCATTTTCTATATATTGTATATATTCTCTTTAGTGAAGAAATCAGGGTATATAATGCAGGCAACAAAGGGGTTACTACAGGCAGTTTGGTCACCAGCAGGTATACAGTATTCACAGCGGCAGTTCTCGATGTGTGACTCGCCTGTATCGCCGTTATATGTGTTGTCATATTGCTTCCTATTGTTTCTCTCGCGTTAAAGAACATGAACTCTCATGTTGTGATGGCCACAGAATTCAGTAAGTTGTGATTGTGTTACCAGACACATGTGTTACCCCGGACGGCACACTGTATACCAAGGGCCAGACCTGGGCAAACGGCTGCAAGGAGACGTGCACCTGTGAAGACTCGGTCACGAACGACATGAGATGTAACCAGAGGTAACATCCTCCTGTTGTGTATTGATTATACGAGATCTGTAGTAAAACAGGCAGGATAGGGGTAGGTGGGTATCTTGTTATCTTGTGAAAAATCACTGCATTTCAGGCAACTCAGTCGCAGTACAGTGAACTTTCACGTGACATTTGTCTGTTGGTGTCGCTAGTTTTAACTTGCAATGGCGGATGTAGGTGCACACCGTTACCATGCACCGTGCCATTAAATATACCTGCAATATGCCCATCAGTTTTGTCATTGACGATCAAAGTCCTATAGTAACCATAATTTGACCACAATTCTCGGCAACGGGTTCAGCAAGATTCTGTTGATATTTATGCAGTAATATTCCCAAAGTTACAATTCCAATTCGGGTTAAGAGAATTTTGTGCATTGAGAGAACGTTTCATCTATTGATGACATGTGTTTCCAGGGAGTCCTCTCCATTTCACGTCTCCTAGATGGCGACTTCTTCCCGGCAGAATGTACTGTGAATGTGTGTTGCAGGTGTCCAGGTATTGCCGCCATCCCGTCCTTCTGCCAGATGGTGCCTGACCCCCAGGACTCCTGTTGTAAGACGCCTTCATGTAATTACAAGGGTACACCTCTCACTCCAATGATTGGCAACAAACAACCCACCACCTCACCAACACTCAGCCCTACAATCACGAATGTCCTGCCTATAGGCACTCACAGCGTATTCTCTGGCACTGGGCACCCACCCGGAACAGTCTACTCCACGTCTATGGGAGGAAGAGGTAACCTCCACTCAAATGTTATTATCATGCAACTGAATGAGGGCCAGTAGGACCATGTTCAACCTTTGCAAGTACAATTTAGTGCCCAATACATACAGGGATTAAGTTATCCCATGTTTTTTATTATGGAGAGAATAATGAGATAACTGACCGTTTAATATGTAACTGAAACATACAAGTGTACCTCCCCGCCTAACCAGCTATGCGTAAATTCACATCCACCTTTCGTCTTGTAGATGTGTGTGTGTACAAAGGCGTGATGCATCGTCCCGGCGAATCTTGGGATGATGGCTGCAAGTTTACATGTACCTGTCAGATCAAGGGAAATGGCCTTTACACGTGCAGTGACAAGTAAGGAAACAAAATGACATTCATTTGTATGACATGCTGCTAATAGTTTAAAAGCAAAGACGTTCTTACTAATATTGGAGAGAGAGAGAGAGAGAGAGAGAGAGAGAGAGAGAGAGAGAGAGAGAGAGAGAGAGAGAGAGAGAGAGAGAGAGAGAGAGAGAGAGAGAGAGAGAGAGAGAGAGAGGAGAGGCTAAACCTACAAATTCTTACCAATTACTACAGGTGCCCGACGTACCCGCCTCTGCCCTCGTACTGCAACTTCGTCCCTGTTGTTGGCCAGTGCTGCCCCAGTCTGCACTGTGACGTCCCCAAAGTAGGACAGTACCACCCTGTGCCTCAACTCAACCCTAGTCTCACACCAAGCCTCAGCCCTGGTCAGGCTCCCACCATGCAGCCAACCACCAGCCCTCAACTTATCGTTGGGCCTGGTCAAGGAAACGTGTTTGGTGGAAGTGGCCAGCCCGGACATGGCTCCCCACTACCCTCCAACCCCACAATAGTCGGGGGGATTACTGGTGAGGTATTTGTGGGTCGTAAATTCCCGATTTAACAACAGCATGACTACAATATGCATCTTCTTCCTAGGGGCCTGATGTTCGTCTAAACACTGTTACAAAACGAGTGCAGCCATAACATACACTTCCCTGCACCGTCTTTGTCTGTCCTTATATTTCAATCATTCATTGAACTTCTCATAAGACAGGACATTTGGAATATGTATTAAATTAAACAACTTACATTGTTAATTCATGATATGTTTGCCCTTGTTTCAGACAAGTGTGTCTACAAAGGCAAGATGTACAACCAGGGAGAAAAGTGGGATGACGGCTGTCAGTACTCGTGTACCTGCATTGAATCTATGTCAGGATTCTACAAGTGTCTGCCTAAGTATGGAATAATTACTGCAGAATCAATTTGTTGTTGGTTTTGTTGTTTTGCGTTCAACATATCATGCAACATTCACCGGTCGTCAGATCGCCTGCTGAATTTGCTTTGATTGCTGATCTTATGTCATTAAATATCCTTTCTCTGTACTCCCCAGATGTCCGACCTACTCCAAAGACATGCTGCCAAGTGGCTGTTATATGACTCACGCTGTCGGTCAGTGCTGTGACACCCCCGTGTGCTCTAAGCCTGATGGTTCAACAGTTAACCCACTGTTACAACCCAACGTCTACCCAGTGTATGGCTCATTCACTGGCGGCTTCACTGGTTTCCGTCCTGGTTACACTCCCGGCGTCGCAAAGACATACGGAGGTCGAATAGGTATGTGTGTATGTTTTCTACGTGTGTGTGTGAAGTTTGTTAGCTGCCTGGATAGTGTGGACTTTGTTCTAACTGTTTACACGTTGTGTTCCAGATGCCTGCCTGTACAAGGGCAGTCTCTACAGTTTAGGACAGAGATGGACAGATGCATGTGACTATGACTGTCAATGTATCGACACCTCAGTCGGACAATACAAATGTACTCCCAAGTAAGATTCCTTCAGATAATTTTACACTCAGAAGGACGTTTTCCATTTCTATATCTTAAATGACATCAGAGTACACAAAGGTTTTAGAAAAGTCCCTAACAATCCGAATCAATGTGATGGAAGATTTTTTGTCGGCTTCCAACCTGTAGATGCCCGACTTACGTTAAGCTGCCTGACGCTTGTACCATTCTCGTACATATCTACCTGCAGGTGCCCAACCTACACCAAGCTGCCTCCAATGTGTAAGAGTGTGAGTGTGACTGGCCAGTGCTGCCCGCAGGTATCGTGCGGTTCACAGAACACCGTCCCCACGCCTTCAGTCACCCCTCAGAGCGGCGTCACCGGTCCCTGTATTGATGTATTGACCAACTGTGAGCTGTATGCTGACTCGTCCTGTAAGGCTCCCTATCTAGACTGGGCCAAGAAGAACTGTGCTCGACGCTGTGGAATATGTTGTATGTACATCTGAGCACCATCCTCTGTGTAACTAACTGCTTCACCTACACTTTAAATATGGCGTGATGATCAATTATAGAATCCCCGAGTAGAGAATTATCTTCCTCAGACAAGGTTGCTTTAAGTCTGAGGAATTATTTAAGCAATCAACCTGAAATAAACATGAAGAACTGGCTGAAATATAGTCAGTGTTGTCATTCATTAGTTATCATGGTGACCTTTACCTACCCAGATACACCCACCCAAAGCACTGGCTGTCAGGACAAACTGGCCAACTGTGCCAGCTACAGCAAATCATCATGTGTCGGCGAGTACCAACAGTGGGCAAAGGTCAACTGTCAGAAATACTGTGACCTCTGTCGTAAGTACTAATAACTTCTTGAGGCACATACATGCCATTCCAGTTTGCAGCTAGTGTTAACTATATAACGTTTAAATATTGAAAATGATGTTTGTAAAACTGATACGTTGATCTACTGTTAGTAGCAATAACCTCTTCTTCATTGTATTTGTAGATATTCCTATAGCTTGTGTTAACATGTGGTGGGCGTACTCTCACACATAGAACTGAACGTTCCTTATGAACAGCGGTTATAATAGTTAAAGGATATATTGAATCAATCAGAGACCCTCTCTATGTTGTTCCTGTAGTACTAGGATGGTGTGACATACCATATTTAAATGTCATATAATACAGGACATATAAACGTGATATGAACACAGGTGTTTTAATTAATTTGTTCAGCCGGCGCCACATCTACTCCCCCCACGGGCTGTGCAGATAAACTCAACAACTGCCACTCCTATAGCAGCTATTCGTGCTCCGGTCAATATGAGCAATGGGCTAGGACCAACTGTGCATCAACCTGTGGATATTGCCGTAAGATTTATCACCATATTCACCAGTCGAAAGCAAACAAATGCAATTATGCTGCAAAGATTCAATGAATCTCTATGCTGGATTAAGATAGATATGCCCCACTCTACTTTGAAGGGGAACCACTGAGACATTTCAGTGTTAGTATCGCCGTAGACCGACATATCTTATCATAAAAATAATGTTGCCAAAATACTATCAGTGTCTTAATAACAAAATGCTTAAACCCTGTATCTTTTATGTTCATTTTAACTTTGCTCAAGTCATCACTTTCCCCTTCATTCACTCTAAAGCCTTCGCCAGATCATAAGATCTATTTTTAGAAATTTGGGGATTTCCATGTCATGAATGTCTAGAGGAAACTACACCTTTTAGCATTTAAAAGATTTTTAAATGTAGCGCAAGCAACACCAACTTGTATGGTTTATGGGTATTGCGGTAGATATCCAATATATATAAATTCACAAATCAGATGTTAAAAATATTGGTTAAAGATCCTTGGAATGCACGAACAAAGAATCCCCAAACTAGATTATAACATGCTTGTACATTTAGATGATAGGGGTAAGACAACATGGGCGTCTCATATTAGAAATCTGTTATTTTCTCATGGCTTTGGATTTGTGTGGCTAAATCAAACAGTTGGTAATATTAATCTATTTCTTAAGCAATTTCGAGAACAATCTGTTAGCATGTATTATCAAGAATGGCATTCCTGTCTAGACAATAGTTCAAGATATCAGTTGTAAAGATCACATAAGAGCTTAATTCAACCCGAACTATATCTATCTGTATTGACATCTAGAAATATCAGACGCACACTTGTCAATTTTCGATTGTCCATTATGTAACTCGGCTGTAGAAGATGAAATTCTCTCGCTTTTGAATGCCCACATTATGCTGATTTAAGAAAAAAATAGATCCCAAATAATTACCTGTTAAAATATCCTTCATCTGCCTTTGCTTCCATTCTATCCTCCAAAAATGAAAATGTAATACGCAATCTTGCGCTTTATGTAAAACATGCTGTTATCCTTAGAAGCAATATCTTATCTGAACTGTAATTTCTTTTGTGAAATGTCTGTAACATGTGCTGTATATATACTTGTATTACTTATATATGGGCCGGAGGCCTTAAGTACAATAAATATCTTTGACTTTGACTTAGAAACCAAAACTTAAAATATATGTCCCTCCTGTACAGCTCTTTCTTGTTCCACAGCCACTGGCACCGGTGTACAGCAGGGACATGGTGGAGGAATCGGTGTACCTGCTACCGGCTGGACAATATTGATGAAGGGTGTTGCGGGTGTACCAGGCGACCTGTATCAGCTATGGGCGTCACCCAACACCGCCAGCGCCAACGTGCCCTCCGCACAGTACTTGACCAGCACCTACCCACATTCATACAAGCCAGATTTGTCCAACAAATGGAAAGACTGTAACTTTGATAATGTAGGTGTTATGCGTGAACAGTAACATTACTAAATGGGATCGCAATGCAAATTCCTCGGTAGTTCTCGTTCACTATTAGATAACAGTGCCAACAGACAACAGCTGTAAAGTAGGAAAGCGTATAGTAGTTACACATTGTTCGTCCCACTAAGGGTAGATATACACATATAGATATGTAGCCGCTAGGCTGAACGGTGTTCCGTGTTGCAGTGATCTCTCCATTTTATGATTTACATATGTGCAGTTTCCTGTAAAAAAGCTATGTGATTCACCTAATTTTCTGTAATTACTGAAACGAATTGTCTCTACCCTTTGTGTACTCCAGGTAAAGGTTGGGATCTTCAACAACGGTGTGGAGAAGGCAAGTATTGTGTTTGACGCTCATGGAGCGGACAAGATGAGCTGGTTTGATCCTAGCAGAATCATCTCCTCCACGTGGACTGACATCAAGACTGCACCCAAGAGCATCTTCTCCATGATGGGGTAAGTCGATCGAGTTTGGTAGTGGTGTCTAGATAATAGTGACACTAGGATCTAATACGGCTGGCCCATGTGTCTGCCATTTCGACACTGTGTCATAATTCACCATTACAACCTTGTGTTACTATTATAATCCTCATTGCTATTAATGATATTTTGAGTCACATCTGTGATAACTCAAGTGATTCTAAAGTGTAGATCCAATATCGACATCAAATACGTTTGAAGCCTCGTGTAAAGGGGAAGATCACACGTAAAGCCTAGTCACGCTGTTTGGTTTGTAATGCTTCAGTCACCACAAGTCTTGGTCCAGTAGGAACTGTCACCGAAAGTCCTTATTGTTTCTATGTATGTCTGATTAAACATGTGTCCCAATTTACAAACAAATGAATGACTAACTGAATGAATGGAAACATTTTAGAGACCCAATCACGGGACGGGAGTTTTATACTAGCGGCCAGTCCGGGTCTTCGTGCGATGCTTCCGGGTGGATGATGATCTCCACAAGACCAGGATGCACCTATGAAACAACTGGGACAAAGCCAGCATTCTACTATGTACCAGGAACAACCCAAGCGAAATTCAGCCAGAGTAAGATATTTATAGTGGTACACTAAGATATAATGTGAGACATGTAGACAACAAAGGAACTGCCGTGTAGACTGACATAATCACCCTCAGAGATGAACTGTAATACTGAGACATGTAGACAACAAGGGAACTGCCGTGTAGACTGACATAATCACCCTCAGAGATGAACTGTAATACTGAGACATGTAGACAACAAGGGAACTGCCGTGTAGACTGACATAATCACCCTCAGAGATGAACTGTAATACTGAGACATGTAGACAACAAGGGAACTGCCGTGTAGACTGACATAATCACCTTCAGAGATGAACTGTAATACTGAGACATGTAGACAACAAGGAACTGCCGTGTAGACTGACATAATCACCCTCAGAGATGAACTGTAATACTGAGACATGTAGACAACAAGGAACTGCCGTGTAGACTGACATAATCACCCTCAGAGATGAACTGTAATACTGAGACATGTAGACAACAAGGGAACTGCCGTGTAGACTGACATAATCACCCTCAGAGATGAACTGTAATACTGAGACATGTAGACAACAAGGGAACTGCCGTGTAGACTGACATAATCACCCTCAGAGATGAACTGTAATACTGAGACATGTAGACAACAAGGGAACTGCCGTGTAGACTGACATAATCACCCTCAGAGATGAACTGTAATACTGAGACATGTAGACAACAAAGGAACTGCCGTGTAGACTGACATAATCACCCCTCAGAGATGAACTGTAATACTGAGACATGTAGACAACAAGGAACTGCCGTGTAGACTGACATAATCACCTCTCAGAGATGAACTGTAATACTGAGACATGTAGACAACAAGGAACTGCCGTGTAGACTGACATAATCACCCTCAGAGATGAACTGTAATACTGAGACATGTAGACAACAAAGGGAACTGCCGTGTAGACTGACATAATCACCCTCAGAGATGAACTGTAATACTGAGACATGTAGACAACAAGGGAACTGCTGTGTAGACTGACATAATCACCCCCTCAGAGATGAACTGTAATACTGAGACATGTAGACAACAAGGAACTGCCGTGTAGACTGACATAATCACCCTCAGAGATGAACTGTAATACTGAGACATGTAGACAACAAAGGAACTGCCGTGTAGACTGACATAATCACCCTCAGAGATGAACTGTAATACTGAGACATGTAGACAACAAGGGAACTGCCGTGTAGACTGACATAATCACCCTCAGAGATGAACTGTAATACTGAGACATGTAGACAACAAGGGAACTGCCGTGTAGACTGACATAATCACCCTCAGAGATGAACTGTAATACTGAGACATGTAGACAACAAGGGAACTGCCGTGTAGACTGACATAATCACCCTCAGAGATGAACTGTAATACTGAGACATGTAGACAACAAGGAACTGCCGTGTAGACTGACATAATCACCCTCAGAGATGAACTGTAATACTGAGACATGTAGACAACAAGGAACTGCCGTGTAGACTGACATAATCACCCTCAGAGATGAACTGTAATACTGAGACATGTAGACAACAAGGGAACTGCCGTGTAGACTGACATAATCACCCTCAGAGATGAACTGTAATACTGAGACATGTAGACAACAAGGGAACTGCCGTGTAGACTGACATAATCACCCTCAGAGATGAACTGTAATACTGAGACATGTAGACAACAAGGGAACTGCCGTGTAGACTGACATAATCACCCTCAGAGATGAACTGTAATACTGAGACATGTAGACAACAAGGGAACTGCCGTGTAGACTGACATAATCACCTTCAGAGATGAACTGTAATACTGAGACATGTAGACAACAAGGGAACTGCCGTGTAGACTGACATAATCACCCTCAGAGATGAACTGTAATACTGAGACATGTAGACAACAAGGGAACTGCCGTGTAGACTGACATAATCACCTTCAGAGATGAACTGTAATACTGAGACATGTAGACAACAAGGGAACTGCCGTGTAGACTGACATAATCACCTTCAGAGATGAACTGTAATACTGAGACATGTAGACAACAAGGGAACTGCCGTGTAGACTGACATAATCACCTTCAGAGATGAACTGTAATACTGAGACATGTAGACAACAAGGGAACTGCCGTGTAGACTGACATAATCACCTTCAGAGATGAACTGTAATACTGAGACATGTAGACAACAAGGGAACTGCCGTGTAGACTGACATAATCCCCCTCAGAGATGAACTGTAATACTGAGACATGTAGACAACAAGGAACTGCCGTGTAGACTGACATAATCACCCTCAGAGATGAACTGTAATACTGAGACATGTAGACAACAAGGAACTGCCGTGTAGACTGACATAATCACCCTCAGAGATGAACTGTAATACTGAGACATGTAGACAACAAGGAACTGCCGTGTAGACTGACATAATCACCTTCAGAGATGAACTGTAATACTGAGACATGTAGACAACAAGGAACTGCCGTGTAGACTGACATAATCACCCTCAGAGATGAACTGTAATACTGAGACATGTAGACAACAAGGAACTGCCGTGTAGACTGACATAATCACCCTCAGAGATGAACTGTAATACTGAGACATGTAGACAACAAGGAACTGCCGTGTAGACTGACATAATCACCCTCAGAGATGACCTGTAATACTGAGACATGTAGACAACAAGGAACTGCCGTGTAGACTGACATAATCACCCTCAGAGATGAACTGTAATACTGAGACATGTAGACAACAAGGGAACTGCCGTGTAGACTGACATAATCACCTTCAGAGATGAACTGTAATACTGAGACATGTAGACAACAAGGGAACTGCCGTGTAGACTGACATAATCACCTTCAGAGATGAACTGTAATACTGAGACATGTAGACAACAAGGGAACTGCCGTGTAGACTGACATAATCACCTTACGAGATGAACTGTAATACTGAGACATGTAGACAACAAAGGGAACTGCCGTGTAGACTGACATAATCACCCTCAGAGATGAACTGTAATACTGAGACATGTAGACAACAGCGGGAACTGCCGTGTAGACTGACATAATCACCTTCATGGAGATGAACTGTAATGCACAACCCCAAGAACCCCAAGGAAGACAGACAGGAATGAGACACAAGGAATCACGAACGGAAGGCATGAGACAACAAAAAGGAAATAGTCTGGAGGAGAAGAAAAGACAGGAATCACACATAACCCCAAAAGAAAAGACAGGAAAATAACCCATGCATGCACACAGGAACACACAGGAAACAGATAGTCTTGAATGGACACCCAGTGGAAATGGAGGAACAAACAGAGGTGGTGGAAGGAACATGGAAGGAGGAACAAAGAAAAGGAAGGACAAAGGAAGAGAAGGAAAATATGGAATGGAAGGAGGAAATCAAGGAAGGAAATGGTCCCATGGACACGAGACAGTCCCTGGGTGGCATGGACAACAGGCACGAATCCTGTGGGGAGGAACATGAGACACCCAGTGGACACAGAGACAGACACAGCACAGCATGGAATCCCAGACAGAATCCCACATGAGACAAAGACAGCACACAGGCCCTGAATAGCATGGCCCAGCACAAGGAATCCCAGTGGCATGAGGAATATGGACATAGCATGAGAAAAAGATAACGGAAAAATAGGCCCAGTGGAGAAAAGGAATCAAGAGAGGAAACAAGAGAGTGGTGGAGAATAGCATGGATAACAAAGAGAGGTGGAAGGAATGAAAGAGAAAAGGAAGGTGGAAGGAAAAGGAAAGAGAAACAAGAGAACTTGGTGGAGAATAGCATGATATAGCATAACGTTATATGTAACAGATAGTCCATGGGTGGGGAGAATAGCATGATATAGCATAACGTTATATGTCACAGATAGTCCTTGGGTGGGGAGAATAGCATGATATAGCATAACGTTATATGTCACATATAGTACACAGGTGGGGAAGATGGAATAGCACATGATAGTGGTGGCATAACGTTATATGGAAGGAATAGTCCAGGGAAATGGAAAGGTGCCCTGTTAAATGAAGGAAATGGTTAATGTGGACACAGAGGGATGTCTATGAAAGTACAGGGTGCCCTGTTGGACAAAGGTGGTAGGAAATGGTGGAAGATGAAGGGTCAATGGAAATATACAAGATGGAATGTTTACAAGGGAAGACGTTAATGTGTAACGGAGAATGTCTATGGGGGTACAGGTGCCCTGTTTACAAGGAAGACGTTAATGGACGACTAATGTCTATGGGTGTACAGGTGAAATGTTTACATGGAAAGACGTTAATGTGTGTGACGAATGTCTATGGGTGCACAGGCGTCTCCGTTTACAAGGAGAAGACGCCGGAATGTGTGACTAATGTCTATGGGTGTATTGCGGTGCCCCAGGTTTCCATAGGAAGACGTTCATGCGTGATCGACGGTTCTATGGCAGCATATGGTGCCCGCTGTTTACAAGGAAGATGCCACGTGAACGACTAATGTCTATGGGTGTACAGGTGTCCTGTTCACAAGGAAGACGTTAATGTGTAACGAATGTCTATGGGTGTACAGGTGCCCTGTTTACAAGGAAAGACGTTAATGTGTGACTAATGTCTATGGGTGTACCCGGTGCCCTGTTTACAAGGAGAAGACGTTAATGTGTGACTAATGTCTATGGGTGTACAAGGTGCCCTGTTTACAAGGAGAAGACGTTAATGTGTAACGAATGTCCTATGGGTGTACAGGTGCCCTGTTTACAAAGGGGAAGACGTTAATGTGTGACTAATGTCTATGGGTGTACAGGTGCCCTGTTTACAAGGAAGGCATTAAGACGTTAAGGTGTAGGTGCCCTGTTTACAAGGAGAAGACGTTAATGTGTGACTAATGTCCATGGGTGTACAAGGTGCCCTGTTTACAAGGAAGACGTTAATGTGTAACGAATGTCTATGGGTGTACAGGTGCCCTGTTTACAAGGGAAGACGTTAATGTGTGACTAATGTCTATGGGTGTACAGGTGCCCTGTTTACAAGGAAGACGTTAATGTGTAACGAATGTCTATGGGTGTACAGGTTGCCTGTTTCTATGGGTGTACATGGTGTGTACAGGTGCCCTGTTTACAAGGGAAGACGTTAATGTGTGACTAATGTCTATGGGTGTACAGGTGCCCTGTTTACAAGGGAAGACGTTAATGTGTGACTAATGTCTATGGGTGTACAGGTGCCCCTGTTTACAAGGAAGACGTTAATGTGTACAAAGGAAGACTAATGTGTCTATGGGTGTACAGGTGCCCTGTTTACAAGGAAGACGTTAATGTGTGACTAATGTCTATGGGTGTATAGGTGCCCTGTTTTACAAAGGAAGACGTTAATGTGTAACGAATGTCTATGGGTGTACAGGTGCCCTGTTTACAAGGAAGACGTTAATGTGTGACTAATGTCTATGGGTGTACAGGTGCCCTGTTTACAAGGAAGACGTTAATGTGTGACTAATGTCTATGGGTGTACAGGTGCCCTGTTTACAAGGAAGACGTTAATGTGTGACTAATGTCTATGGGTGTACAGGTGCCCTGTTTACAAGGAAGACGTTAATGTGTGACTAATGTCTATGGGTGTACAGGTGCCCTGTTTACAAGGAAGACGTTAATGTGTGACTAATGTCTATGGGTGTACAGGTGCCCTGTTTACAAGGAAGACGTTAATGTGTGACTAATGTCTATGGGTGTACAGGTGCCCTGTTTACAAGGAAGACGTTAATGTGTGACTAATGTCTATGGGTGTACAGGTGCCCTGTTTACAAGGAAGACGTTAATGTGTGACTAATGTCTATGGGTGTACAGGTGCCCTGTTTACAAGGAAGACGTTAATGTGTGACTAATGTCTATGGGTGTACAGGTGCCCTGTTTACAAGGAAGACGTTAATGTGTGACTAATGTCTATGGGTGTACAGGTGCCCTGTTTACAAGGAAGACGTTAATGTGTGACTAATGTCTATGGGACTAATGTACAGGTGCCCTGTTTACAAGGAAGACGTTAATGTGTGACTAATGTCTATGGGTGTACAGGTGCCCTGTTTACAAGGAAGACGTTAATGTGTGACTAATGTCTATGGGTGTACAGGTGCCCTGTTTACAAGGAAGACGTTAATGTGTGACTAATGTCTATGGGTGTACAGGTGCCCTGTTTACAAGGAAGACGTTAATGTGTGACTAATGTCTATGGGTGTACAGGTGCCCTGTTTACAAGGAAGACGTTAATGTGTGACTAATGTCTATGGGTGTACAGGTGCCCTGTTTACAAGGAAGACGTTAATGTGTGACTAATGTCTATGGGTGTACAGGTGCCCTGTTTACAAGGAAGACGTTAATGTGTGACTAATGTCTATGGGTGTACAGGTGCCCTGTTTACAAGGAAGACGTTAATGTGTGACTAATGTCTATGGGTGTACAGGTGCCCCCTGTTTACAAGGAAGAAGACGTTAATGTGTGACTAATGTCTATGGGTGTACAGGTGCCCTGTTTACAAGGAAGACGTTAATGTGTGACTAATGTCTATGGGTGTACAGGTGCCCTGTTTACAAGGAAGACGTTAATGTGTGACTAATGTCTATGGGTGTACAGGTGCCCTGTTTACAAGGAAGACGTTAATGTGTGTGACTAATGTCTATGGGTGTACAGGTGCCCTGTTTACAAGGAAGACGTTAATGTGTAACGAATGTCTATGGGTGTACAGGTGCCCTGTTTACAAGGAAGACGTTAATGTGTGACTAATGTCTATGGGTGTACAGGTGCCCTGTTTACAAGGAAGACGTTAATGTGTGACTAATGTCTATGGGTGTACAGGTGCCCTGTTTACAAGGAAGACGTTAATGTGTGACTAATGTCTATGGGTGTACAGGTGCCCTGTTTACAAGGAAGACGTTAATGTGTGACTAATGTCTATGGGTGTACAGGTGCCCTGTTTACAAGGAAGACGTTAATGTGTGACTAATGTCTATGGGTGTACAGGTGCCCTGTTTACAAGGAAGACGTTAATGTGTGACTAATGTCTATGGGTGTACAGGTGCCCTGTTTACAAGGAAGACGTTAATGTGTGACTAATGTCTATGGGTGTACAGGTGCCCTGTTTACAAGGAAGACGTTAATGTGTGACTAATGTCTATGGGTGTACAGGTGCCCTGTTTACAAGGAAGACGTTAATGTGTGACTAATGTCTATGGGTGTACAGGTGCCCTGTTTACAAGGAAGACGTTAATGTGTGACTAATGTCTATGGGTGTACAGGTGCCCTGTTTACAAGGAAGACGAAGACGTTAATGTGTTTACAAGGAAGACGTTAATGTGTGACTAATGTCTATGGGTGTACAGGTGCCCTGTTTACAAGGAAGACGTTAATGTGTGACTAATGTCTATGGGTGTACAGGTGCCCTGTTTACAAGGAAGACGTTAATGTGTGACTAATGTCTATGGGTGTACAGGTGCCCTGTTTACAAGGAAGACGTTAATGTGTGACTAATGTCTATGGGTGTACAGGTGCCCTGTTTACAAGGAAGACGTTAATGTGTGACTAATGTCTATGGGTGTACAGGTGCCCTGTTTACAAGGAAGACGTTAATGTGTGACTAATGTCTATGGGTGTACAGGTGCCCTGTTTACAAGGAAGACGTTAATGTGTGACTAATGTCTATGGGTGTACAGGTGCCCTGTTTACAAGGAAGACGTTAATGTGTGACTAATGTCTATGGGTGTACAGGTGCCCTGTTTACAAGGAAGACGTTAATGTGTGACTAATGTCTATGGGTGTACAGGTGCCCTGTTTACAAGGAAGACGTTAATGTGTGACTAATGTCTATGGGTGTACAGGTGCCCTGTTTACAAGGAAGACGTTAATGTGTGACTAATGTCTATGGGTGTACAGGTGCCCTGTTTACAAGGAAGACGTTAATGTGTGACTAATGTCTATGGGTGTACAGGTGCCCTGTTTACAAGGAAGACGTTAATGTGTGACTAATGTCTATGGGTGTACAGGTGCCCTGTTTACAAGGAAGACGTTAATGTGTGACTAATGTCTATGGGTGTACAGGTGCCCTGTTTACAAGGAAGACGTTAATGTGTGACTAATGTCTATGGGTGTACAGGTGCCCTGTTTACAAGGAAGACGTTAATGTGTGTGTGTACAGGTGAATGTCTATGGGTGTACAGGTGCCCTGTTTACAAGGAAGACGTTAATGTGTGACTAATGTCTATGGGGGTGTTTACAAGGAAACAGGTGCCCTGTTTACAAGGGAAGACGTTAATGTGTGACTAATGTCTATGGGTGTACAGGTGCCCTGTTTACAAGGAAGACGTTAATGTGTGACTAATGTCTATGGGTGTACAGGTGCCCTGTTTACAAGGAAGACGTTAATGTGTGACTAATGTCTATGGGTGTACAGGTGCCCTGTTTACAAGGAAGACGTTAATGTGTGACTAATGTCTATGGGTGTACAGGTGCCCTGTTTACAAGGAAGACGTTAATGTGTGACTAATGTCTATGGGTGTACAGGTGCCCTGTTTACAAGGAAGACGTTAATGTGTGACTAATGTCTATGGGTGTACAGGTGCCCTGTTTACAAGGAAGACGTTAATGTGTGACTAATGTCTATGGGTGTACAGGTGCCCTGTTTACAAGGAAGACGTTAATGTGTGACTAATGTCTATGGGTGTACAGGTGCCCTGTTTACAAGGAAGACGTTAATGTGTGACTAATGTCTATGGGTGTACAGGTGCCCTGTTTACAAGGAAGACGTTAATGTGTGACTAATGTCTATGGGTGTACAGGTGCCCTGTTTACAAGGAAGACGTTAATGTGTAACGAATGTCTATGGGTGTACAGGTGCCCTGTTTACAAGGAAGACGTTAATGTGTGACTAATGTCTATGGGTGTACAGGTGCCCTGTTTACAAGGAAGACGTTAATGTGTAACGAATGTCTATGGGTGTACAGGTGCCCTGTTTACAAGGAAGACGTTAATGTGTGACTAATGTCTATGGGTGTACAGGTGCCCTGTTTACAAGGAAGACGTTAATGTGTGACGAATGTCTATGGGTGTACAGGTGCCCTGTTTACAAGGAAGACGTCTATGTGTAACGAATGTCTATGGGTGTGCAGGTGCCCTGTTTACAAGGACCTCCCGACAGGTTGCAAGATGGTGAAGAAGCCCGGAGAGTGCTGCGCCAAGCCCAACTGTACCGGCCCAGGAGGGGGTAAACAGCACACTCCTCACGTTTGGAAAGAATAGCTTAATGTCATTAAAACATCTGACTTAAAATTAAGTTTTAATTGAGCTGATCCCGGTAGATCCAGAAGAACGCATTTGTGGGTAATATACTAAATGTTGTAATATCATGTTATATATAAAGCATATATAGTGCGCATAGCAGTCATTAAATCCGTTGCACATGCATTTTGTACATATACATACTGGTAGAAAGATACCTGTGAATGTGCATAACGGATGCACACGTCTATATAGACAGGCTACTGTAATATAATTATGTACAGGCTAGCGTGAATTACTTGCAACCATGTGTTGTACAACTTAACTTCATTTAACTACAACGTAGCTAATGTTGGTAAATAACCAGAAATCAACAACTATGTAGATTGTACAATTCTATGCTTAAAACATAATAACTTTGGGGCATACATACATGTACATTTAATAGTGTTTCCTGTCGTCCTTCAGCCTCGTGCCTATACAAAGGAAATTACTACACCCAAGGCCAGACCTGGGAAGACGGCTGTGACTTCAAATGCAAGTGTGTGGACGCCAGCAAGGGCTACTACCAGTGTGATCTCAAGTAAGTCCAGCCATCCATCTGGCAGATGAATAACATCATTATACCAGTAATACATAACCTGTGTTTAGGCGACAGTATTGTTGGTATTAACATGTATTCAGTGTTGATATCACATTTTGATCTGTCTGTATGTACATGTAATGTGGAGCCAGTGTTGATATCGCACTGTCAACTGTACGTATGTGGGTGTAATGTGGAGCCAGTGTTGATATCGTACTGTGAACTGTACGTATGTAGGTGTAATGTGGAGCCACTGTTGATATCGCACTGTCAACTGTACGTATGTAGGTGTAATGTGGAGCCAGTGTTGATATCGTACTGTGAACTGTACGTATGTGGGTGTAATGTGGAGCCAGTGTTGATATCGTACTGTGAACTGTACGTATGTGGGTGTAATGTGGAGCCAGTGTTGATATCGTACTGTCAACTGTACGTATGTGGGTGTAATGTGGAGCCAGTGTTGATATCGTACTGTCAACTGTACGTATGTAGATGTAATGTGGAGCCACTGTTGATATTGTACTGTCAACTGTACGTATGTAGATGTAATGTGGAGCCAGTGTTGATATCGTACTGTGAACTGTACGTATGTGGGTGTAATGTGGAGCTAGTGTTGATATCGCACTGTGAACTGTGCGTATGTGGGTATACTGTAGAGCCAGTGTTGATATCGTATTGTCAACTGTACGTATGTTGGTGTAATGTGGAGCAAGTGTTGATATCGTACTGTGACCTGTACGTATGTGGGTGTAATGTCGAGCCAGTGTTTATATCGCACTGTGAACTGTAGTATGTGGGTGTAATGTGGAGCCAGTGTTTATATCACATTTTGATCTGTCTGTATGTAGATGTAATGTGGAGCCAGTGTTGATATCGTACTGTCCACTGTACGTATGTGGGTGTAATGTGGAGCCAGTGTTGATGTCGTACTGTCAACTGTACGTATGTTGGTGTAATGTGGAGCCAGTGTTGATATCGTACTGTCAACTGTACGTATGTGGGTGTAATGTGGAGCCATCGTTGATATCGGACTGTGAACTGTACGTATGTGGGTGTAATGTGGAGCCAGTGTTGATATCGCACTGTGAACTGTGCGTATGTGGGTGTAATGTGGAGCCAGTGTTGATATCGTACTGTCAACTGTCCATGTTGAGATGTTATCCATGTAGTGTGGAACTGATGTATATTGTCGGTATTGCAGGTGTCTCCAGTGGCAACTACCCAAGGTGTGCAGTATGTTGGCACCTCCTGCCGGCAAGTGCTGTCCCGTCCCCCACTGCCCCGACGGATATGTTATCAACTACCCGCCCAATTACGTGCAGGAGTAGGCCGACCTCACCAAGTGTAGTCTACTGTACATACCATTTTTGATAAAAGTGAAAAACGTTTGAAAAGACTACTGCTTTTTAGTTTTCAATTATACTCACATACTGACATACAACCACTGTGTGCACACGAGCTGTCTCCAGCCCCAAATGCTCATGCTACTTGCCTTGACAATAATCCCTTACTGGGGATATCTGACCAACCCGTACAGACTCCAGGCAAGAACATCCGGTAACCTATGCATGTTGTCACTATCCTCTCATCCATACAGGGCACGCTCTCTACCTCCACACTATCCCTCTCATCCATACAGGGCACGGTTCTACCTCCCACACTATCCTCTCTCATCCATACAGGGCACTATCCTCTCTCTACCTCCCACACTATCCTCTCATCCATACAGGGCAATCTCTACCTCCACACTATCCTCTCATCCATGCAGGGCATGCTCTACCTCCACACATCTATCCTCTCATCCATGCAGGGCACACTCTCTCTACCTCCCACACTATCCTCTCATCCATACAGGGCATGGCTCTACCTCCCACACTATCCTCTCATCCATACAGGGCACAGTCTCTCTACCTCCCACACTATCCCTTCCTCTCATCCATACAGGGCACGGCTCTACCTAACACACTATCCTCTCATCCATATAGGCACGTCTCTCTACTCTAACACACTATCTCTCTCATCCATACAGGGCACAGCTCTACCTCCCACACTATCCTCTCATCCATACAGGGCAATGGCTCTACCTCCCACACTATCCTCTCATCCATACAGGGCACATGCTCTCCTCCCACACTATCCTCCATCCATACAGGGCACGTCTCTACTTCCTACACTCATCTCATCCATGCAGGGCACAGCTCTACCTCCCCACACTATCCTCTCATCCATACAGGGCACGTCTCTACCTCCCACACTATCCTCTCATCCATACAGGGTACAGCTCTACCTCCCACACTATCCTCTCATCCATACAGGGCACGTCTCTACCTCTCCCACACTATCCTCTCATCCATACAGGGCACAGCTCTCTACCTCCCACACTATCCTCTCATCCATATAGGGCACAGCTCTACCTCCCACACTATCCTCTCATCCATACAGGGCACTGCTCTCTACTTCTCCCACACTATCCTCTCATCCATGCAGGGCACAGCGTCTCTACCTCCCACACTATCCTCTCATCCATACAGGGGGCTCTCTCCCACACTATCCTCTCTACCTCCCACACTATCCTCTCATCCATACAGGGCACAGTCTCTACCTCCCACACTATCCTCTCATCCATACAGGGCACAGCTCTACCTCCCACACTATCCTCTCATCCATACAGGGCAATGCCCTCTACCTCCCACACTATCCTCTCTCATCCATACAGGGCACAGCTCTCTACCTCCCACACTATCCTCTCATCCATACAGGGCACAGCTCTACCTCCCACACTATCCTCTCATCCATACAGGGCACAGCTCTACTTCCTCTCCCACACTATCCTCTCATCCATACAGGGCACTGTCTCTACCTCCCACACTATCCTCTCATCCATACAGGGCACTGCTCCACCTCCCACACTATCCTCTCATCCATACAGGGCACAGCTCTACCTCCCACACTATCCTCTCTCATCCATACAGGGCACAGCTCTACTCTCCCACACTATCCTCCTCATCCATACAGGGCACAGCTCTCTACTTCCCACACTATCCTCTCATCCATACAGGGGCAATGTCTCTACCTCCCACACTATCCTCTCATCCATACAGGGCAATGTCTCTACCTCCCACACTATCCTCTCATCCATACAGGGCACAGCTCTACCTCCCACACTATCCTCTCATCCATACAGGGCACTGTTCCACCTCCCACACTATCCTCTCATCCATACAGGGCACGTCTCTACCTCCCACACTATCCTCTCATCCATACAGGGCACATGTCTCTACCTCCCACACTATCCTCTCATCCATACAGGGCACGTCTCCTACCTCCCACACTATCCCTCTCATCCATACAGGGCACGGTCTCTACTCCTCCCACACTATCCTCTCATCCATACAGGGCACGGCTCTACCTCCCACACTATCCCTCTCATCCATACAGGGCACGGCTCTACCTTCCCACACTATCCTCTCATCCATACAGGGCACGGCTCTACCTCCCACACTATCCCCTCTCATCCATACAGGGCACGTCTCTACTTCCCACACTATCCTCTCATCCATACAGGGCACAGCTCTACCTCCCACATACTATCCTCTCATCCATACAGGGCACGGCTCTCTACTCTCCCACACTATCCTCTCATCCATACAGGGCACAGCTTCTACCTCCCACACTATCCTCTCATCCATACAGGGCAGGGTACCTCACACACTATTCTCTCTCTCCATTACAGGGACACACTATCCTCTATCCTCTCATCCATACAGGGCAATGTCTCTACCTCTCCACATCTCTCATCCATACCTATCCTACCTCATCTCTCCCTCCATCCATACAGGGTACATGGCTCTACCTCCCACACTATCCTCTCATCCATACAGGGCACAGCTCCACTTCCCACACACTATCCTCTCATCCATCCATACAGGGCACGTCTCCACCTCCCACACTATCCTCTCTCATCCATACAGGGCACGTCTCTCTACTTCCCACACTATCCTCTCATCCATACAGGGCAATTGCCTCTACCTCCCACACTATCCTCTCATCCATACAGGCACGCCTCCACCTCCCACACTATCCTCTCATCCATACACTCCACCTTTCCCTCATCCACAGGGGCACTCTCTCATCCATACAGGGCACACACTCTCTACCTCCCCACACTATTCCACACCTCTCATCCATACAGGGCACATGCTCTCTACTCTCCCACACTATCCTCTCATCCATACAGGGCATGGCTCTACTCCCTCCCACACTATCCTCATCCAATACAGGGGCACGTCCTCTTCCACCTCCCACACTATCCTCTCATCCATACAGGGCAATGTCTCTCTACCTCCCCACACTATCCTCTCATCCATACAGGCACGGCTCTACCTCCCACACTATCCTCCTCTCATCCATACAGGGCACAGCTCTACTTCCCACACTATCCTCTCATCCATACAGGGCACGGCTCTACCTCCCACACTATCCTCCTCTCATCCATACAGGGCACAGTGCCTCTACTCTCCCACACTATCCTCTCATCCTCCATTCCTCCTCTCTCCATATAGGGCACGTCTCCAGCTCCACTGTCCTGGTCATCCACAGCTCTTACCTCTCCACTATCCATATGGGGCGTCCTTCAGCTCCACTATCCTCTCTCATTCCTTGCTGGGTTTCTTTCCATTGTCCTCATCTCCAGCTCTCACTATCCATCCATGGGGTTTCAGCTCCTGTCACTATCCATCCATACAGCTGGCTCACCTCCACTATTCTCATGCCTGGGGCTCACCTCCACTCTCCTCTCATCCTTCCGTCCTCCACTGTCATCCACACTGTCTCTCTGTCCATCCAGGGGCCTCATTACAGGCTGGCTCACCTCACTGTCCATGTCATCCAGCTCCATGTCTGTCCACGGGGCGTCACTGTCCACGTTCCTGGGTCTATCCATGGGTCTGTCACTGTCCGTGTCCATGCTGTCCTCCATTGCAGGGCTGTCCATACAGGGGCGGCTCTTCCATTGGGGCTTCCATTGCACGTCCTCCACTGTCCATACAGGGGCTGGCTCTCATCCATGCAGGGGCTGTCCTCCACTGTTCTCTCGTCCGTGGGGCTGTCCATCGTCGCCAGGGCCTCCACTGTCTTCACGTTGGCTTGTCCGTCCATACAGGGGCGGCTGCCTCCACTGTCCATGCAGGGGCTGGCTCCACTGTCCCTCCGTCCGTCTCTGTCCGTCTGTCCTCGTCCGTACCTCTCGTCCGTACGGGCTGGCTCTGCCTCCACTGTCCTCTCGTCCATGCCTCCACGTCGCCTGGGGCTCCACTGTCCTCGTCCGCTGGGGCTCTGCCTCACTGTCCTCGTGTCTTTGGGGCGTCTCCATTCCACTGTCCTCCGCATGCCGGTCGTCCTTCCTGGGCAGCTGGGGCGCCGGTCCGCCGGCCTGGGGCGTCTCCGTACCGGTTACAGGGGCAGCTGGGGCTGTCCTCGTCCTTCTCGTACCTCCGCTGTCCACGTCCGTACGGGGCGTCTCTGTCCGTACGGGGACGTCTCCACTGTCCTCATACGGGCTGTCGTGCGGTTCCACTGTCCTCGTCCGTACCGTTCCACCTCCGTGTCCTCGTCCGTATACGGGTTATCCGGCTCCACTGTCTCGTCCGGGTTGTCCTGTCGTCCATATAGGGGCGTCTCCACTGTCCTCGTCCATTGGCTGTCCTCGTCCGTTCCGTTGTCCTGTCGTCCGCCTGGGGCGTGTCTCCACTCGTCCAGTGGGGCTGTCCACTGTCTCGTCCGCCACGGGGCCGGCTGTCCGTCCATACGGGGCCTGTCCGTACAGGGGCCGGGTCTACTGTCCTCTGTCGTGGGGCACAGTTCACTGTCTCGTCCGGTTCCTTCCACTGTCCTCCGTCCGTCTACCTCCTGTCCTCTCGTCCGTTCCTCGTCCATCCCAGGATTCTCTCATCCATTTCCTTCTACCTCCTCATCCATTTCAGCTCTACCTCACTATCCCTCTCATCCATCTCCATATCCTCCTTCCACCTCCACTATCCTCTCATCCATACAGGCTTCCTTTGTCCTCCATCCATTCTCCACCACTATCCTCATCCATGCCTTCCACTATCCACTTCCACTTCCTCCCCTCCATCCACTTCCTTCTATCCATCCCTTGTCCACTATCCATCCACAGTTCCTTCCTTCTCCTTTGATTCCATTATCCTCCATCTTTTTGTCCACCTACTATCCATCCTGGGCATTCCACCTCCAGACTCATCCTCCACTATCCTCCTGTTCTTTCCATCCATACTGATTCCTCCACCTGGGGCATGCTCCTCCATCCATGCTCCACTATCCTTTCCATCCATCCACTCCTTCCACCTAAATTTCCACTATCCATACAGTTATCCTCCT